ATGTAATTCACCATAGAGCGATAAATATATGGAAATACAGAAAAGATTAAGAGACCCAGAATATAGGGTTAGTTGAATCAACATGTGTGTAAAGGAAACTAAAGAGAAAATGTAGGAGTGATAATATTTGAAGCAATAGTGGCTTAAATATTTTCAGAATGAATTAAAGATACAAATCCTCAAATTGAAGTGGCACAATGAGCTTTCAACAGGATCAATAAAGATAAGTTACACCTAGACACATTATAATGAAACAGAACCTGAAAGACAAAGAAAAGTCTTTTTTTTTTTTTTTTTTTTTTTGTGGGACTCTCACTGGCGCCCTGGGAACAAACCTGTGCTGCAGTGGCTGCGGGCAGCCTCATAGCCCAGCGCTCAACCACTGCACCACCAGGGGAGGCCTGACAAAGAAAAGTCTTAAGTAAATCTGCAAAGTGAGTAAAATTGCCTAAAAGGATTAACAAATAAACCACAGAGCTTTCTTTAGTAACAATAGAAACAGTGGAAAATTATTTTTCCATGTGCTGATGAAAATCTCAACCTAGAGTTCTTTTTTTTTTTCTAATAAATTTTATTTTTATATTCCCCATATAATTGCAACCCCCTTATTTTGACCCCAATCCCTTCCCTCCCCACCCCCTACCTCCCATAGAGTGTCTCTGGTTCATAGTTTTTTGTTGATTTTGATTTTCACTTTCTTATAGTTGTTCATTTTCCTGGTCCCTTATTTAAGTTTTCTAGATTCCTGCTATGAGTGAGACCATCCGGTATTTTTCTTTTTCTTTCTGGCTTATTTCGCTGAGCATGATCCCTTCCAGCGCCATCCATTCAACCTAGAGTTCTTTACCCAGGTAAATTATTCTAAAATGCTAGTGGAGCACCCACTTAGAAAACAGTTCTGACAGTTATTCAAAATGTTAAATACAGAATTTTCATATGGCCTAGAGAAACTCCAATCCCAGATATATAGCTGAAAGAATGGAAAACTCAAATACGTATACATCAGTATTTATAGTACCATTATTCACAATATCTAATATGTGGAAACACCCAAAATGTCTATTAGTGGATGAATGAATAAATATGTGGTATATACATACAACTGGAGGTTATTTTAACCATGAAAAAGAAGTATTAAAAATGTTACAACTTGGGCCTCCCTGGTGGCTCAAGGGGTTAAGACACAACCTATGAAGCTGTCCGCAGCCTCTGCAGCATGAGTTCAATCCCCGTCCAGGGAGCAACCCATCTGGCGCAGCAGACCTCTTCTGACTCGCCCGCTGTTCCCCTCAGCAGTGTACTTCGGTCAATGTGCCTGTTCTTTTTTTTTTAATATTTATTTATTTATGCATACAAGAGCTGGAGTACAGGCCAGAGGTGTGTGTGGGGGTGAGAGGATTCACCAGAGACAGAGTGAAGAACAGAACAGGTAGACTGAAACAAACTGCTGAGGGGAGCCGTGGGTGAGACAGGAGAGGTCTGCTGCGCCATGTGGGTCTCTCCCTGGTGGGCCGGGGATTGAACTCGTGCTGCAGAGGCTGCGGATTGCTTCATAGTGCGGTGCTTAGCCCCTTGCGCCACCAGGGAGGCCCAATCTGCCTGTTCTGTTCCCCACTCTGTCTCTGGTGAATCACCCTCCGCACCTCTGGCCTGTACCCCAGCTCTTGTATGCATAAATAAAAATCTTTAAAAAAAATTACAACTTGAATGAACCTCAAATACATATTGGTAGGAAATGAACCCAGACCCAAAACTTCCCCATATTATATGATTCCATTAATACGAAGTATCAAGAAAGAGAAATCCATGGAGACAAAAAGTAGATTGGTTGCCAGGGCTAGAAGAAATGGGAGCTAGAGAGTGTCTGCCCTACTATGGCTATGGTGTTTTCATTGGGGGAGATGAAAATATTGTGAAACTTAGTAGAAGTGTACAGCACTATGAATGGACTAAATGTCAGTGAATTTTATACTGAACATGATTATGTTATGTGACTTTAACCTCAGTAAAAAAATCAGTTAAATATCTAACGCTTAGAGCTTGTGCTTTCTGAAACAATTTATAGTTTAAATTTTATTAAATTTGAGCTCAGAAGGAATGAGTGAGAAACAAGCTTTGTATCATGTGGGTAAATGTTAATAAGTATTGATTTTTTTAAAGAAGGAAAGTATTGATAATAACAATGTGGGAAATTTGGTAAAAGCAAGGTGGAACTAAAATATTGTAGTTTAATGGTGGGAAGAGGCTAATGATAGCCTTTTTTTTTTTAAAGCATGGAAGAACTGTGCTGTAGGCCAGAGGTGCAGGGGGTGAGGGGATTCACCAGAGACAGAGTGGGGAGCAGAACAGGAGGATTTACTGAAATACACTGCTTATTGGATAGATGCATTGATTAACTTTAGACTTTAGAAATATTAAGATAAAGTACAGCTTAAGATAAAAAACATTGTAGAGATTTCTGCTTTTGTTGAGGAAGGACAAGAAAGACTTTTTCTCTCATGGTAGTAATCATGGGGAAAATTATGGAGAAAATTTGGAAATAAAATTTTCCAGAAGGTGAACCGAGTCAGTGGAAAAGAGGTCTGGGTGAATTGTGTTTGCAATGAGACAAGTCCTTACAGTGAGCAGAGTGTCATAGCAGCTTCTATACCTGGGGTGGACGCCTGGCTGTGGTGCAGGTGGGTCTGCTCTAGCCTTGTTTTGCTGACTCAAATGTGGGCACAAATATTCCACCCAGAAGTTCTTTCCCTTTAGTTCCTCTTCCACCCTCTTTCCAACCCCTCCAAACTTTGCCAAGAAAGCAGCAATGGAAGAGAATCTCATTAACAGAGAAATTGGCTAGGCTATCACATTTTTGCCTTGATGGGACTTGACCAGTGCTTGCCAGATGTAACCAAAGGCAAATCTAAGCTACCTAAAGCTGAAGCTAACCCCCTTGTAGATCACTTATTGACATGATTTATATCAAATGTTCCAAAAGTTGCACATAGAACCTAACTCCAGCATCAACTATGATACTTAGGGAACTGATGGTCAGTTGTGGCTCATTCTGGAAAGATCGTATGGCACAAAACATATTAAACACCCAGGCAGGCAGGCCTGGGTGGGGCAAGGTGCATTCCTATAGAGACAGGGTAGGTGTGCAAACTACTGAATATATATGTGTGTGTATCTATAGATACACACATGTAGACGTATATATGTGTGTATATGTATACACTTTAGTCACTAGCATTTTCCTATTGTAAAGCTCCACTTCTTTACTTTTAACATTATTGTAGTCCTTATGATTGATTGTATCTTTTGCTTTTCACTAGAAAATGATGGGAGCCTGGCATCTGTGTTGTCATTACCCTGTGGTGCTGCTTGTGGGTGCATTGTTGTAGGGTAGAACACTGTTGTGTTGTGGGTCTGCTGTCCTTCTCTCAGCCCATGGATTTTCAACACCGACTGTTTCCTTCGAAGAATTCTGAAGAGCTTTATAGGACTGTTAGCTGTCTCTCTGCCCTCCCCTTTTACATACTGGGGTACAGACTCTCATATTTACTGTCCAGGTCTAAAAGAATTGAAATCCTATTATTATCTGTGACCCCAACCCCATCCTCCCTTCTCACAGCAAAGCTCTTCTTTGTTTTCAGCGGTCGGCACACAGTGCTGGGGCACACCCGGCTGCTGGCACCATGCTCTCATCTTCTTCTCACCTTCTCCACTGCCAGAATATTGGAGTCCACTCACACCCCCTCCATGCCAACACCCACTGCTTCCTCTGGGGACATTAGTGATGTCAACTCAACTCGGTTTTGTTTCTCTCTCCTTTTTTTCTGTCCCCCCATCTTTCCCATCTTCTGTGGCTTTTGGCTTTTGCTCAGGGAGCAAAAAATGGTCCCCTATAGACCTTGCCGGCAAATGAGCTCCATCTTTCTGCCCTGTGAACAAATGTATCTAGACACTGTGTGTTTTATCCTGGAGCATTCTTGGTTGTGTTATTTGAGGTTCAGGTATTGAAACTTTTTTGGTGCACCTGCCACCAAAAGCAGGATTTTACCTGTCTTAGGGGCATGAGATTTAGAAAAATTTGGCCTTCACCAGGTCCGGTGCTGGAAGATTAGAGAGTTGCTCTCTGAGTAGAACTAGGTATAATTTACTTTCCGTGTCCTTGTGTTACAAGAAAAATGAAAGTTTAATAAGTTCTGTATGAAAGAGATTTTTAGTGTGTCTAAAACAACTTTGCAATGCACATTTAATATTTCACAAGAGTGATGTAAAATTATGCACTTGTGTGCTGTAAATGGAGGACTCTTGAGAAAAAACTTATGCTATAACTAGATGACACATTAGATTTTTATCTTTCAAGTTATAAATATTCTAAAATGTTGACACCATTTCATGTTTGTGTTTTTTTCCCCCCTTTCTTCCTAGAATATTTTCCTTCTTGGATATAGTAACTTTGTGCCGATGTGCACAGATTTCCAAGGTAGTGTATTAAACAAATTTTTTTTTAAACATTTATTTGTGCAAGAACTGGCATACAACTCAGAGGCATGGGAGGGTGAGAGAATTCACCAAAGACAGAGGAGGGAACAGAACAGGCAGACGGACCAAAGACACCGCTGAGGGGAGCAGCAGGAGAGGCAGGAGAAGTCTGCCGCACCATGTGGGTATCTCCCTGGCCTTGGCCAGAAATCGAACCCATACTGCAAAGGCTGTGGACAGCTTCACAGCACTACGCTTAACCCACTGCGCCACCAGGGAGGTTCTAAACAGATTTTTAATCAATGAATTGAATTATATTAGAATGAAAATGAATTTTAGTTCAAATAAACAGTTTAAAGTTAAAATGTCATCTTTTATATTTAACATAATTTATAATCCGCATTTGATTGGCTTAGTGTATATGAAGAAAAAAGTGTGGAAATGCAAAGTTAAATCAAAACTTTTTAACAGTCTCCATAAATATCTCTTTCACTCCAATCTTTCCTCGTTTGCCTCCCACCTCCCAGGCTTGGAACATCTTAGCCCTGGATGGAAGCAACTGGCAAAGAATAGACCTTTTTAACTTTCAAACAGATGTAGAGGTAAGTTAACTTTGTTTTAGATAAAAGACTTTTTGAATATAAATGAACTGCTCATTCTTTCTTACCTTTTGATTTTACTGAATTTAGATTTTAGATGTTAAGATGTTTAGATATTAAGATGTAAGGTGGAATTGAGAAGAAAAATACCTGGATAAAAAAAGTATATATTTACATGCATAAAGACCAAAATTCTGTTTGCATATTCCTATTTATAGTATATTAGTAATAGACAACTTTCCTTTCCCTTCCTCATGTTTATAATCTGAGTTTTATTCAGATTTTTAAAGCCTCACACCTGCACCATTAACACCTGGTCAATGCTTTAACCTTAGTAGACTCTTGATAAATATTGATCAAAAGACTCACTGAGAGTCTAATTCAGGATTGAAAATGGAGAAATAGCAGAAATGTAATCTAGGAGTGAGTCTCAAAATCTAAATTGTCACTCCAGCTACCCATATAGTCTCTAAGTGCCTCAGTTTCAATCTCTATAAAATAAGTAAAATCACCTCTAATGCCTGTTATAGTTCCAGGATTCTGTTGTATTTATCTGTAAATATGTGATTATCTCCACTTAAGTGTATGTAATTGGTAATCCTGACCAAATGAGAAATGCTTATTTTAATGCAACCTTAATATTAAATACTATTTCTAACAAAAAGGAAAGCGGGGAGTAATAGAGACACAGTAATTGTCTGCAGTGCTGTTATTTGAGTGGATTCTGGAGTGGATATTCTGAATTACATTATCTACTCCATGTTAATAAAACTTTATTCATTTCTAGTTTAGCCAGCTCAGTTATAGCAGTGGGATTGCATTTTAATCCACTTAATCATGTAGCATGTTAACAATTTTTTTCTACCAATGTGTATGTTTTGTGTCTTTTTGGATAAGGAAATAAATGGACCTAACAGTGGGATGTTTGGGGTAAGGAAATAAATGGGCCTAGCAAGCAATTTTCTGTGAGTTATTTAGCCTGGTGTACTTAGAGCTAATGACAGTTGCTGAGGCCTTTCATCTCCTCCTAGGCAATCGAGCATTTGAGAGCCTCTGCTTCCATCTCAAACCAGTGGAGCAGAGCACCTCCAGATGTGGAACTTCCCACAGTTGTTTTCCTCTCAGGTTATGATGCTCCGAGCTTGAAATTGTGTGGAGACCTCAGAGCTTCATGCCTGATCCTGGAAAAATAGTTCTGACTTGCACTGTAGTTCCTGAATTAGGAATTCTTTAATGCTCTTTCCAGACTTAAAAGCAATGACTTCAGTGTCCTCCAAACATGCTGACATTGCATACCAAGCAGTGTAATTCCCCTTCAGATGAATAATCTCTAGGTCTTTGTTCATTATATACATTTAGTAATGTTTTATGCTAGTGTAAGAACTTTTACCCCGAAGTAAAGAAGCATGGAACACATATAAATATGAGTAACTTGAAGTGGAAAAAAGTGTATTATGTGCTCCATCTGTAGATATTACTGTAGAGGTTTTTAGTGGTTTCATTTGGTGCTTGAATATTTATCTTGGATTTTCAAGTCATAGTCTTTTTCTTTCCTCTGATGACATTTATTTTATAGTTGTCTGGAATTTTGTTTAAAAATGTAGTTATTAACTTAGGCAGTAGTCAAGAAAGCATAAATAAAGCTGATAGCAAAGCAACAGTTTGAATTTGCAACTTACGATGCTAGCCAGGTAACAATGTGTGAACCCTGAACTTAGCTTAGGATCGTGTGGCTTTATGTGTCCTAGTGAATTCTTAGTGTTTACAGTTCAATGCCAAGTTTGCTGTTTTAGAAAAAGCAATTCAAAATGACCCTTTTCAATATTTCCCACTTTGTGGAGTTAGAAGTCATTATACAGTGCATTCAGACTTTAGAAGCAGATAAACCTGGTAGAACTGCAGTTCTGCTACTCACTAAAATATAACCATGGCAATCTACTATTTCGTTATTTGCAAAATGAAAATGAATCCATTCTGTTTTAATTAGAACTGTGCAGAGAAACAGAAGCAATATGACATGTATAGATAGATCCAGATCTAGAGAGTTTTCTTATAAGGAATTGGGTCATAATTAAGGAGGATGAGAAGTCTTACACTCTGCAGTTCATAACCAGGAGACCCAGAAGAGTCATGTATAGCTCAGTCCAAGTTTGAGGGCCTATAAACCAGCAGAGCAGATGTGTAAGTTCCAATCTGAAAGCTGATAGGTTTGAGACCCCAGAAGAGCCTATGTTCAGTCCAAGCCAAAGGCTTGAAAAGACCATTTTTCCCAGTTCAAGCAGTCATGCAGGAGAAATTCCTTCTTTTTTGTTCTATTTAAGCATTCAACAGGTTGGGTGAGGCCCATTCACACTACGGAGGGAAATCTGCTTTATGTAGTCTGCTGATTCACATATTAATCTCATCTAGAAATATCCTCACAGACACACCTAGAATAATTCTTGGCTAAATATCTGAGCACCCTGTGACCCAATCAAGTTGACATATACAATTAATTACCACATGCTCATCTCTTACCAACTTGGCACCCATATGCTGCTCCTTAGCTGTACCTACTCTCCAAATAAAGATTATCAGGAAGCCGTAATTTCAACTAGGTGATATAACTATCCCATGTAAAACCCAGGACACACCCCTTCCTCAGAAGAAGAACTAAGGGCCTTGAATGATGTTCGTTCGTCTCATTGATATCCCATATCTTAAATACTGTGACGTAGAGTTAACAGAAATTAAATACTACAATAATAAAGTCAATGGATCTTGTGTTACATAAGCAAATATAGCAGGAATAAAACAAATATATTTACTTTATACATATTCAGACACATATTTATAACAAAAAAGGAAATACTCATTGCTGTAACTGATCACATGGTCATAGTTTGTATTTATAACTGCCTGTTTCTAACCGTTCTGTACTTCTTTTGTCTTCTGCCAACAACTGAGCTGGTTGTGGTTCTTGACTTTATAGAGTGGCCCAAACCATCATTCCTGAAATGTCTGGGCCTTTAGTAGTTCTGTCTGGGCCTTTAGTAGTTCTGTCTGGATTGACTTGTACTTTTCCATTGACTTTAATCACAGGACATGGTAATACTAAGAGACATCCTGAGTCATCCGGTAGTCCAGATATATTCTCCATTACCTCCACTGCAGAGTAATAGTGTATAACATTGTTATAGACTAGTATTAAATAGTATTAAATGTATTAAATGAGACATAATAGTCATGATAGAGTTAAAATTGTGCTTGAGAAAGTGAAATTACTTAGTGTTCATTTTCTTTTTTCCTTTTCTAATGTCTCTGCCAGTATCATCAACCGTTCCTTCTTTCAAAGAAAATATATATATATTTTTTTTTTCAGAGAAAATATATTTAAATAGGGAATTGCTCAGAAGGATAAGGGGAATTTTTACACTATATTTTCATACTTTTGGAGTAGTGATGTTCAGCTAAAATAGGATTTCTTTTTATTTTTTTATTTTTAAAATTTTTTTACATCATTGTTCATTTTTAAACAATGTTTGCTTCCCCACCCCTCAGGTGTAGTCCCCATAGAGTGTCCTTCACCAATGTACCATCACCTCAGTCCCCTGTGCTCCTCCCTCCCTCTGATCCCTTTCCCTTCTCCTCCCCTGCAGGATGTCTCTGATTTGTATTATCTTTTTTTGCTCTGTTGAGTTTTGTACTGTTATTATTTTTTTTACATTGATGTCTTATTTGGTTCCCCTATATTCCTGCTATAAGTGAAACCATCTGGTGTTTTTCTTTTTCCTTCTGGCTTATTTCACTGAGCATAATTCCTTCTAGTTCCATCCATGTTGCTGCGAATATTTTGAATGCTGAATAATATTCCATCGTGTATATTTAGCACATGCTCTTGATCCAGTCATCTATTTTTGGGCATTTGGGTTGTTTACAGGTTTTACCTATTGTAAATAGTGCTGCAATAAACATTGGGGTACAGGTGTTCTTTTGAATCAATGTTTTTGTGTCCTTTGGGGAGATTCCTAGGAGTGGAATTGCTGGGTCATATGGTAGCTCCATTTTTAGTGAACTGACGAACCTCCAGACAGCTTTCCATAGTGGCTGGACCAGGTTGTACTCCCACCAACAATGTGGGAGAGTTCCTTTTCTACCACATCCTCGCCAATGTTTGTTGTTGCTTGTTTTTTTGAGATGTGCATTCCTACTGGTGTAAGGTAGTATAGATGTGGTTTTGATTTGCATTTCCCTGATGATAAGGGATGTTGAACATTTTTTCATATGCCTGTTGGCCATTTGCATTTCTTCTTTGGAGAAATGTCTTTTAAGTTCTTCTGCCCATTTCTTGACTGGATTATTTATTTTGTTTTTGTTGAGTCCTGTGAGTTCTTTGTATATCTTTGTGATCAGTCCCTTATAAGTTGACAGGAGTGCAAAGATTTTTTCCCAATCAGTAGGGTGTCTCTCTGTTTTGGTTAATGTCTCTTTTGCTGTACAGAAGCTTTTCAGTTTGATGTAATCCCAGGTGTTTATCTTTTCCTTGACTATTTTTGCTTTGGGTGATGAGTCTTTAAAGATGTTATCACGATGTATGTCTTGTAGTGTTTTACCTATATTTTCTTCTATATATTTTGTGGTTTCAGGCCTTATGTCCAGTTCTCTTATCCATAAAATAGGATTTCTTTTTATCCGCAATATTGTTTTAGATCCCTGCTCAGCAGCTAGTGTTCCCACAGCTGACTTCAAAAAGGCTTATAATTGGTTGATGGGCTGTGAGCCCTGGGTAGGAGAAACCTAACTTCAGAGTGAAGGCTTTCAAAAATTAGTACACAGTTTTATTTTTTAAGTATGTAATGCTTTAATCAAAAACATTTTTCAGTGCTTTAGCCCCTTTATGTATTAGAAACAGAAATGTTATCCTGGAGGAATGTACTAAAATGTCTTCTGAAAAAATATATTCACTTCCAAAATTTCTAGTTACTATACTGGGACATAAGCAGCATGATAAAACAAGATTTTTTTCCAACCTTCTTCATTCAAGGGTCGAGTAGTGGAGAATATATCCAAGCGGTGCGGTGGCTTCCTGAGGAAGCTCAGCTTACGAGGCTGCATTGGTGTTGGGGATTCCTCCTTAAAGTAAGTTGGATCCACAGTGACTGTCATGGAGCTCGTAGCTGACATGTCATTCACAAAAATAAACCCATGTGTTACGTACTTTTCTTTTGTTCTTTCTGTAGTAATTTACATAGAGTAATGACAGAACCATAAATGACTTTGGAGTCAATAGACCTGGATTAGAAACGAGCCCCACTATTGTTAGGGAGGTGACCTCTTGGGACAGATCGTTTTTCCCATCCCAGTCTGGTCTCCTGCAAGGTGGAGGCAGTTATAGCTTTGACATGGAAATGTTAAATCTTCATGAAATGAAATATCTGAAGTCCTGGCATGTCATAATGTTACATTAGTTCATCTCTATTCCCGTCTGTACTTTTTCACTGTTCTAGTTTCCTTATCATAAGAGTAGCTGCCTTTTGGGCCTCCCCAGTGGCGCAGCGGTTGAGCGCTGGGTTGCGAAGCTGCCCGCAGCCTCTGCAGCACTGGTTCGATCCCGGCCACCGGGCGAGGGTCCCACATGGCGCGCAGACCTCTCCTGCTGCCCGCTGCTCCCCTCAGCAGTGTACTTCGGTCCTTCTGCCTGTTCTGTTCCCCGCTCTGGCTCTGGTGAATTCTCTCACCCTCCCGCACTTCTGACTGTACCCAGTGCTTGTATAAATAAATAAATAAATCTTTTAAAAAAAAGATTAAAAAAAAAAGAGTAGCTGCCTTTTTATAGAGATTATACTAATTGTCAAAATAATTATTTCAAAAATGTCCTTAGCATAACCCAGCATGTTGTTTACTCATATGGGATGTGCTTAATACACTCATTTTATTACAGTTAACAATATATCCTGCCCAAGCAAATGCTTTCCCACCTGTTGTTGGATAGTCATTACTTATTGAAGATGTTATGAATCTACCATTAAGGACATGCTTTGAGCTTTTCTGGAGATACACACATGACTAGAACCTTTTTGTGCATATCCTTGTGGCCTCTCTCTCTTGGTTTCTTTTTGTCACTTTTTTATTGAGGTAACATTGAGTTACAACACTGCTTCTGATTTAAAGGTTTAGACTTGTTTGATGTTGTCTAAAATTTGAAACAATAGCACCTACAACTTTGGAGGGAACTGTATCTCTTGCAGATGTAAGCATTACCACAATATACATCAATCACAGACCCTTAGCAAGAATGTGTATTATATATTGACTGCAGACAGAATTTGTAATGGAAGCGTCTGTTACACCATTGCCAAGAAAATTGATTCATAACATCTTAGAAGAATCAAAACATTCACTTTAAATGTTACAAAACTGATTTTTTTAAAATCAAAAAATTCAAGTCATCATAACAGATTTTTTGCAGTTTCAAAAACTTTGTAAGCCAGTGGAATGAATGGATTGATTCTAGTTTAACAGGAAATGTAAATGTACGAATAGATCATAAGAAAATTTATAACATAGAACATAAATCTAATAGTGGTTCCATTAAGGGAAGTAAAATAAATACGTGAACATGTGGATTGTCAGTGAGTGATATTGAAATATATTCTTAGATTGGCCATTGGAATAAAAACATAAAATCTCACAAAAGAATGTTTATTGGTTTACCATACATTTTAGAGCAGAAATCTATATTAACATCTATATACATTTTTATATCTAAGGACCAGATTACTGTGAGAAATGATAAGCATAATCATAGAATTATGAGTCAGAAAAATTGTTTTGCTCTTCTAGTTTTCAGTTGTAATCACTTGGAACTAGCCTGGACTTTTACTCTGCCCCAACATGTGTGATATTGTTTTGGTGGGAGGTTAGTTATTCATTTGTAAATCCACCCCTACTAACTAGGTCTAGATTTAGCCAATGGCAATACAGTAGTAATCAAAATAGAGTAAAATCTTAATACTAATGGATATTGCATTATATATTCTTTATCACTCCTGCTCCATCATTGTATATGAAGTCATTGGGGTTTTTAAGAACCTTATTCATAAATAATTGAGATACAATAAGCTGTACATATTTAAATTGTACAAGTTGATACATTTTGGCATAACTCTGTAATCATTAAATCCATAATCAACCTAAGTTTATTCATGCTCTGTTCTTTTTCTCTTACCATGTTTCTCTTACCATGTTCTTTTTCTCTTAACATAGTTTCCTATGTTTTCAAGTTCCCCTATCTTTTCTTCCATAATCTGCCCTTAATCCTACCCAGTGAATTTGCATCACAGTCATGGTTTTCATATCAAAAAGTTCAATTTGGGCCTCCCTGGTGATGCAAGGGGTTAAGTCTCAGCACTATGATGCTATTGGCAGCTACTGCAGCATGAGTTGGATCCCTGGCCAGGGAGCTACCCACATGGCGTAACAGACCTCTCCTGTCTCGCCTGCTGCTCCCCTCAGCAGTGTATTTCAGTAGATCTGCCTGTTCTGCTCCCCGCTCTATCTCTGGTGAATCCTGTCACCCCACACACACATACACCTCTGGCCTACACCCCAGATCTTGTATGCATAAATAAATAAATCTTTTTTTAAAAAGTTCAATTTGAGTCTTTTTATATATTGCTCATGTTTCTATATAGCATGTTTAATTTTCTAGTTTGATAGAACTGTATTTTACATAAAGCATGTTATTGCTATTTCTAACACCTATGTCAGTTCTTGGTCAGCCTAGATAGAATTTTCCCCTCATTATGTATATGTCATTCTTCTTGATGTATGGTGATTTTCTGTTTCATGCCAGACATGCAAATTTTACTTTGTTGTGTGCAAAATATTTTGTATTCCTATAAATACTCTTGAGTTTTGTTCTGGGTGCAATTGAATTGCTTGTACATAGTTCCTTTTAGATCTTGTGTTAAAATTTGTTCGGTTAGGTCAAAATAGTGTTTAGGGTTAATTGTACTCTACTTTTCATTTTTGTGTAGAAAAAACTGGGGTGTAGGCCAGAGATGCAGGGGGTGAGAGGATTCACCAGAGACAGTGGGACACAGCAGGTGGATGTACTGAAATACATTAAGGGGAGCAGCAGGTGAGACAGGAGAGGTCTGCTGCACCATATGTGGGTTAGCTCCCTGGCTGGGGATCGAACTGAGGTCATAGTGGTGACAGCAGTGAGACTTCACCCCTAGGCCACCAAGGAAGTCCCTAATTAGGATCTCTACTTCTAAAGCAAAAATCTTCTCATTGCAAACCTACCCAAAGCCCCATGAATTATGTTGGGAGTGGGCACTATTGCTGGCCCTCGGTAAGCTCTGATTATTGTTCCTGTTAATGTTTTTTGTTAATTCTTCCTTGGTCTTGGGTAGTTTCCAATAGTGTATGCTCAGATTGGCATACACTATTAAATTCTTGAGGGGGAACTCTTTGCAGATCTGTGAAATTCTCTTCTGGTAATGTTCAGGTTCCTTGCTTCAAACTGATTTTTTTTATATTTTATATATTTTTACATCATTTTTCATTTTTTGCACAATGTATGCTTTTTCATCTTGGTTATAGCTCCCCTACAATTCCCACCCCCTTTATTATGACTGTAATCCCTCCTGCCCCCACCCCCAAACTGATTTTTCTATAGAGCTGAAGGGACAGAGAAGTAGGCTTTCAACCTCAGATGACTGTTAAGATATCAATGAAGGAGAGCTGTGACTGCTAAACAGTCATTCTAGGAGTTTGCTTCTAATGTGTGATCCCCAGACTAGTAGCTCGGGCATCACTTAGGAGCTTTTTAGAAATGCAGACAATCAAGCAGTTTGCCTAGCTCTACCATCAGAATCTGTACTGTGATAAGTACCCCAGCTAATTTGCAGCCTAAAGTGTGAGTAGCACTAGTACCTGTTGTCAAGAAAAATATATTTTACACTTAATTTTTTAAAAAAGATTTATTTATTTATTTATGCATACAAAAACCAGGGTACAGGCCAGAGGTGTGGGGGATGGGAGGATTCACCAGAGACAGAGTGGGGAGCAGATCAGGCAGACTGACTGAAATACGCTGCTGAGGGTAGCAATGGGTGAGTCAGAGAGGTCTGCTGTGCCTTGTGGGTAGCTCCCTGGGTGGGGATCTAACTCATGCTGTAGCCGCTGTGGACAGCTTCATAAGTTGCGTCTTAACCCGTTGTACCACCAGGGAGGCCCTTAAAATTTTGTTAAGGGGCCTCCCCTGGTGGTGCAGGCAATTGAGTGCAGCTCTGTCTTGCCCACTCTCCCCTCAGCAGTGTATTTCTGTCAGTCTGCCTGTTCCATTCCCCACTCTGTCTCTGGTGAATCCTCTCACCCTCCCGCACATCTGGCCTGTACCCTGGTTCTTGTATGCATGAATAAATAAATCTTTAAAAAAACATTTTGTTAAGAGACTAGATCTCATGTTAAGTATTCTTTCCATAATATATATATATATATATATTTTTTTTTTTTTTTTTTTTTTTAAGGTAGAGAAGCACTGTTGTAAAGGTGAATGTTTACACATTCCCTCTAGTGGCTGTCCAACATTTTGCAGGTAGTTTTTAAATGTTTTCTTATTTTAGGACCTTTGCACAGAACTGTCGAAACATCGAACATTTAAACCTCAATGGATGCACAAAAATCACTGACAGGTAAGTAGTTAACATTAGTTTGGTGACTAATTGGCCACGGGGAGAGTGAGGGGAGAGAAACATGGTTGAAAATATCTTTAGTGCTTCTGCTCTTTTTTAGCACGTGCTATAGCCTTAGCAGATTCTGTTCCAAGCTGAAACATCTGGATCTGACCTCCTGTGTGTCCATTACAAACAGCTCCTTAAAGGGCATCAGGTGAGAGTGACTGTTTCTTGTGGCCAAGAGAAATACCCAAAACTTTGAAGGTTCTGATGTATCTGAATCCTTTCTAATGGCCCCATTGGAGCAAGAAGTAGGTGACTTGGGCAGGTCACAGAAATTCTCTCTCCTCTGAATTGCTTGATTTACTAAACTTATAGCTGGTGATAAATGTTCTGTAGGATAGACTGCACATGGGTGGTTTTGTTTCTTCTCTCAGTGAGGGCTGCCGAAACCTGGAGTACCTGAACCTTTCTTGGTGTGATCAGATCACGAAGGATGGCATTGAGGCCCTGGTGCGCGGTTGTCGCGGCCTGAAAGCCCTGCTCCTGCGGGGCTGCACACAGGTACCAAGGGGCTGCTGTTGCCGTGTTTATCTTAGGTGTCAGGTGTGGACACTGCAACTTGCTGTTGCGTTGTGCTTATTGCCCCACTGTGCTCTCACGTGGATTTCACCCGTTTTGTTTTCTCTGTCCACTCAGTTAGAAGATGAAGCTCTGAAACACATTCAGAATTACTGCCATGAGCTTGTGAGCCTCAACTTACAGTCCTGTTCAGTAAGTAGCATGTCTTTCCTGTGAACATCCTCTTGTTCCACATTACCTGTCTCAGGAATTGGCTGCAGTCCCTACTGTAAGGCACCCCAGGCAGGTGGGCTGATCACTACACCCGTATTTCTTATCCTGTGTCTTTATATGAACTTTCAAGTAGCCACAAGATGAAAAACAGCAATCTCAGTGAAAAGGCATCACTTTCAACACAAAACCCCTGAGATTTCTTCTGAAAATAACATTGATTAGATTTTTTTTAAAAGGTATCAGGAAAAAAAAAGATATCAGGGATGCTTTGAAGTAATCATTAACCTGAACAATTCATGATAAGCTCTCAATATACTTTTTTTTACTTATAAACTGGGGGTGATGATACCTCTCACATTGTCTCAGTGGATAAGATGAAATAACAGATATAAAAATCTTTAATGTTTATGCAAAGAACAAGGTGTGACTTTTATCAGAAGATTAGCCTATGAGAAACCATTGCAAATATTGAAAATTGAAAAGGATGCTTGCTATCTATCCTACTGGGTTCTTTCAAGGGAACATTAATTTTGAGAAGAGTAAAGGAAATCCCTTGTATCTGGCAGTTAGTGAATGAATCATAAATCTTTAGAGCCCTTAATATTGGATATAAAATAGAAACTGTCATCTAGACAAATATAAAACCTCTTGGCCCTGTCCTGTTCAAAAATAGGACCTTGAGTTGCATGTAGGGTAACACTGGCAGGTGACTTGAAGTGTAATATAAATAAGCATGTTTATTTCTACATAGATTGTATATTAACATAAAGATATTACTTGGAATATTTATGGTTAAATTTGAGATTTATAAGCCATTTATCTATAATTCAGTGCTTTGTTTATTTTTGGTATTCTTTTTTTTTAAAAAAATATTTATTTTTATTTATTTATACATGCACTGGGTACAGTCAGAAGCTCGGGAGGGTGAGAGAATTCACCAGAGCCAGAGCGGGGAGCAGAGCAGTCAGAAGGACCGAAGTACAGTGCTGAGGGGAGCAGCGGGCGGCAGGAGAGGTCTGCACGCCATGTGGGACCCTCCTCCGGTGGCCCAGGAGCAGCCGGGGATCGACCGGCACTGTAAAGGCTGCGGGCAGCTTCGCAACCCAGCGCTCAACCACTGCACCACCGGGAAGGCCCTATTTTTGCTATTCTTAATGCAGTTGAAGAAATATAAATATACATGCATATTTACATGTATAACTTAAAATTAGTATGAAATTCAGCCTAAAATTTGTATGTCACTGAACTAGACAAGTCTGATGAATTCTTTATCTGATTTTTAACACAGTTCATGATTTTTCTTCTGAAAAAGAAAGCAAGTGATTCTGAAGGGAAAATGGAATTAAAAATGTTTGCTCTCCATTAGTAATGCTATTTTCCTTTAAATGTGTGCAGAGGTAACATAAATATTTCTGCCCTGTACTTCAGCTTATTTTGATTAAATTATTAGGATAAAATGTTAGTAATTGGCATCCGAAACTAATGGGCCAACAGTAGATATGATTTTTCTGCTACTCCCATTTCAGCGTTGCTGGTGCCTGCTGATTTTCCTCCCTGTTTTGGTTTCCCCAGCGCATTACAGATGAAGGTGTGGTGCAGATATGCAGAGGCTGCCACCAGCTGCAGGCTGTCTGCCTTTCTGGCTGCAGCAATCTCACAGATGCCTCTCTCACAGCCCTGGCTTTGAACTGCCCGAGACTGCAGTGAGTGAGCCATATCTTTTGTTTTGCAGCTCAGAGCTTGCCTAGGCCAATTGGGAGGGCTCCTCGCAGGCCAGGAGAGGTTTGTTAGCAGGGGAACAGGTGGTATTGGAGGAGGCAGTGGTCGTGTTGTTGATGGCTTTTTTGGGGTGGATTGGTATGGGACAATACGTAATCCAGTTCATCTAGGGATGTCCAGAATACTAAACTCTGCACCACCAGAAAAATTTTAATTTCTGGATGAATTTTATACATTTGCTAACCTGATTTGCTGCATCCTGTTATTTCCTTGACATCACAGTGATCTGGTAGCAAGCACAGTGATAGCCTGACATCCACATGCCACCACCAGCTTCTCAGTAGAGTCATATTTGTCTTTTTTTTTTAGATTTATTTTTTATTTATACAATAGCTGGGGTACAGGCCGTAGGCACAGGAGGGTGAGAGGATTCATCAGAGACAGAGTGGGGAGCAGAACAGGCAGATTGACCGAAGTACACTGCTGAGGGGAGCAGCGGGCGGCAGGAGAGGTCTGCTGGGCCATGTGGATTGCTCCCTGGCTGGCTGGGAATTGAACCCGCGCTGCAGAGGCTGTGGTCAACCTCACAGTGCTGCGCTTAACCCGCTGCACCACCAGGGAGGCCCATATTTGCCTTTTTTATTCATCATCTTCCCCTAGCAGGACGAAAAGTTTTATTTTAACAAATAGTGGTTTATTTTCTGATGCTCATGGCAATATCGTGAATATTAAAACTGTAATGTTGGCAACAATAGTTGATGTCATTTGAGCTCATATGTGTTCCAGATTATGTCAGGCACTGTTATAAGCATTATCTTATTTAATCCTTATTAAATATTTAGAAAGTAGATACTGTTCTCTTTGGTTTTGTAGAGAATCTGAGACTTGAAAGAAAATCACATAATGGGCTCCATGATGAGTAAGAAGGATAATTGGGAACTTCCATGGTTTGACTTAAGAATCAGCTATCTTAAGCCCTATAAAAGATGCAGGAAAAAGATACCTGTTTTGTTATTCTGATCAGTGAAAGTGATCCATTTCTCATGCTTACATCGATTACATATCTTGTAATGATTGTCTGTTTCTATCTTTTGTCCGTGTTTCATTACGATTGTATTAAAAAAGATTCTGTATAGTTGAAGGAATCTGAGTGATCAAACACTGGTCAGAAAGGAAGTTAAAATTATTGCTGTAGTGGGTTATTCAACCTAAAGTTGCTGTTTGTGTATCATCCACCCTTGCTGGCATAAATATTGAGAATTAACTCATGTATTTCATTGAGTACAACATGTTTGAGTAAAAGTTGATTGTAATTTGTTTTAAAGTCATAGGATATTTTTATTGACTTACCATGCCTTATAAGGTATTAGTATATAGATAGCATCACACCTGCTAAATGTCTATACCTCATCCTACCCACCACCGGAGTTCTGGTGCCCCTTACTGCTATCAAAATGGCTCCCTCTACCTGTCCCCCACTCCTCTTCTTGCCTTTGATAAACACTGGCTATCAGATTTTTTAAGTTGTTTTTCTTGTGTTTTCTTAGCTTGCTTTGTTTTTCCATGTTCCACATGAACGGAACCATTTAGTATTTGTCCTTTCTCTTTCTGATTTGTTTCACTGAGCATAATCACCTTAAGGTTGTTACAAAGGCATGATTTCATCTGAGGATTATGCCACTGAATACGTAAAGTGCATCTATAGGGGCATTTAAGTTGTTTCCAAGTCTTGCCTGTCGTGAATAATGCTGCAGTGAACTTGGGAATGCATATATCGTGTCAAATTTGAGGTTTCATATTCTTTGGATAAGTAATTAGAATTATAATCACTAGATTACATGATAGGCCTTTTAAAAAATTTTTTAAGAATACCCAATATTTTCCATAGAGGCTGAGCCTATTTACATTCTCACCAGCAGTGTAAGAGATTGCCTTTTTGTCAGAAGTCTCACCAACACTTGTTATTTCTTGTCTTTTTGATAAGAGCCAGATGTGGGGTGATAGCTCATTGTGGTTTGGATCTTCATTGCCCTAATAATAAGTGATGTTGAGCAATTTTTCTTGTGCTTATTGGCCATCTGTATGTCTTCTTTGGAGGAATGTCTATTCAGATCTCTTGCGCAATTGTTTTTTTAAAGATTTATGCATATAAGAACTGAGGTGTAGACCAGAGGTGTAGGGGATGGGGGTGAGAGGATCACCAGAGACAGAGTAGGGAGCAGAAAAGGTGGTTCTACTGAAATACACTGCTGAGGGGAGCAGTGGGCGAGACAGGAGCGGTCTGCTGCGCTATGTGGGTCATCTCCCTGGCCAGGGATCGAACTCATGCTGCAGTGGCTGGCGATAGCTTGATAGTGCTGAGATTTAACCCCTGTGCCACTGGGGAGGCCCACTTGCGCAGTTTTTGATTGCTTTTTTTTTTTAATTGTTGAGTTTTACGAGTCCTTTGTATATTTTGGATATTAACCCCTTGTCAGATGTATAATATACAATATTATTGTAATATATATACAATATATAAAATTATAATTGTATATTATTGTAATTGTACAATATATTATTGTAATATTATTGTAATATATTGTAATATATACAATATTCTCCCAACCAAGTAATTGTCTTTATTTTTTTGTTGTGGTTTATTTGCCCATACAGAAGGTTGATGTCCCTTGTTTATTTTTGGTTTTGTTTCTCACCATTGGTGTCAAGTCCCCAAAGATCTGTAAGATTGATGGCAATATTGCCTATGTTTTCTTAGATGTATTTTATAATGTAAGGTTTATATCTAAGTCTTCAGTCCATTAGTTACTATCATTTTGTAGTATAGAATAATTTTTTAAAACAACAGCAACAGTGTTAGCATCATGGGAAGATTCCTGAATTTACTATCCAAGTTTGGGGTGGGACTTTGGGATTTAGGCCCTTAAGCCTCATCCTCCTGGTCTGGACACTGGACTGCATGCATTTCTGACCTTGAGAACTGTTGTAAGAAACGAAAGCGTCTCATGAGTCTGCATCATAAAGTCTGTGTTTCTGTTGTTAACTGGTCGCTGCTTCTTCTCCCCTGCTTTCCTCTTCCCAGGATTTTGGAGGCTGCTCGATGTTCCCATTTGACTGACGCAGGCTTTATACTTTTAGCTCGGGTAAGGCAGCAGTTTTAAAAAAGGAAACCAAACGATATAATTCACCTGTCTAGCTCAAAGTGACTCGGGGTCGTTTTGGGGTATGCCGAAAGCTACCTTCAGGTGTGGTAGTAGAATAGAACCCTCAAGTGCTCCTTGCATTTTTCCCCCATTGGCCGGAAGCGAGTTCTGTAGCAGGTCTAGATCTCACAGTGAGAGGAACCTCCTCCCTCACAGGAAATGTCCTCCCTCTTATAGATCCCAATCCAACCTCTGAGATCGCCCCCGTCCTGGGTGGCTGCGCTGCCTCTGCTTGTCTTCCACATTGCCTGCTAGACACCTAGCACCAGGGGTCTCTGGCCTGCCGCTGGGCATCCATGTCCTTCTGGGGACACGGGTTCCTCCTTCACCTGCCCACACTGTGGCTCAGCACTTCAGCACATGCCTTCCTCAGCCTTTTCTCTGGCTAAAGTGTACGTGCTGATGTCCGTGAGCCCTGGGAAGATGTAGGCCACTGCCTTTTTGGAGTGAGAGAAGGAAATGCAGCCCACAGCAACCCTTTCCCCATTTCTAGAGTGAATAGGAGTCAAAGGGCACCTGCACAGATGTGCTGGCTCACTGGGTCACTCACTGGGTAGGGCACCATCCTAAGTGGAAGAGAAAAGTCCATTGGGTCAGTATTCAGAGGGACAGGACAAACCACCCCTGTTGTCCTAACTACTGACCACATGGTGGGGGATGTCTTATGGACTCTTTCAGAATTGCCATGATCTGGAGAAGATGGATCTCGAAGAATGCATCCTGGTGAGTGGACTCCCAGCAGCCCTATAGCGCTGTCCCTCAGTCACCGGCAGACAACCAGGGAGAGCCAGGGATACAGACTGGCTAGTATCGCTACCCTCCTTGTGCCAGTGTAGGTGTCAGGACTTGGGAACCAGGGCGGGCCAGGGCCGGTGTTGGTCATTAGACAGAACCATGACAGAGGAGTTCAGGACAGCACCATCATCTGCCAAACAACCAAAATAAACTCTCATGTTCACAGAATTTGAGGGAGAAATGAACTTGCATATCCATAAGGTACCTCTACAGAGGATACTCCTGGGGGACCATCCTTGTCCACTCCTCTTGTCCCCAGGCTCCTTGGGGCACCAATCTTGAGACCAGAGAACAATTTTGCAGCTCCAGGAGTGGGTGTGATTAAGATGACTTTTTAATTTTCTTTCCCACCTTTTGATTCTTGTGTTCAAGAAGGGTTAGGTGTTTAGTTCTGGTGTTGAGGCCACACTGACACAGTGTTTCTCTCCAGATAACCGACAGCACACTCATCCAGCTCTCCATTCACTGTCCTAAGCTGCAAGCCCTGGTGAGTCCAAGTGTTTTTGTGACATTATTCACCTATTAGAGATGAAAAGGACCTTCTCACCACAGCAAGGTGATGTCTGGATTTCCTTTCTGTGAAGGTATCAATGTTCTTGATTTCAAGCATCTTTGTTGGGCGAACTTGGGAAGCAAGGTTTCTACATTTTATCAGTGAAGAAACTGAGGCAGGGAGTGGTTAAGGAACTCGCCCGAAGTTATGCAACTGCTCAAAGGCCCCAGATCTCTTGGCCTTTGTGGTGTGCAGTCTTTCCACTGCCCTGAGATGGAGATGATGGCACAGATTTTTCTTAATCCAGCTTTCTCTGTCATCTTTTAAACTTGGACTGTTCTCAGAGACTAGAATATTGGAACATTCTTAACGCTCCATTTGACTGTGAATTGCTGTTCCCGCCAATCTTTCTTATTCCCAATTCCCTTGGGTGCGTCCCCTCAGGCACAGTGTGACTGGACAGCTCTGGGATGTTTGTTAACTTGACAGCTCTGGGATGACTTGGACAGCTCTGGGATGTTTGTTAACTCTTTGGCATCAAATTTCACAGATAGATCAGAAACCTAGTTGTGTCCAAACTCTCTAAATTGTGTTCCTCTGTGTTGTGCCAATAATTTTTTTAGGTCTGATAATTTCTTTACTCCCAAATTTGTCTGGATCTGGTTCTGTAATTGATTCTCCTTTATCCTCTCCAGTCCTTTGTCCCTGAGCCCCAGGTTTCCACAAGAAATCCCACAGCAGGATGGAGAAACTCAAGAAGGGGTTACCGTAAGCACAAACAGGCCTTGTGCTAGCCTCCTAACTCCTGCCTTTCATCCTGCCCCCTAGGGATACAGGGGCCCTGTCAAGGAAGGTCTTCCAGATAGTGTTTTCCTCAGAAGGGATTCTGATGACTGAAAATGTCCATTTTTTTTTCAAAGATTTATTTTATTTATTTATGCATACAAGAGCTGGGGTGTAGGCCAAAGGCGTGGGGTTGAGAGGATTCAGAGACCGAGTGGGGAACAGAACAGGCAGATTGACTGGAATACACTGCTGAGGGGAGCAGTGGGCGAGACAGGAGAGGTCTGCTGTGCCATGTGGGTCACCTCCCGGGCCGGGGATTGAACCTGTGCTGCATTGGCTGTGGATAGCTTCATAATGCTGAGACTTAACCCCTTGCACCACTAGGGAGACCCCTTTTAAAATAGCATTAGGGCAATAATAACCTAGATGGAATCAATTGCTCCTACCATTGCTGTATTATTAATTTCCATGTGGTAACTCCTCCTTCCCCCTCAGCCTAGACTCTGTTATTGTTAAATCACCTCCTTCACCCTCAAGATTCACCTTTACTTAGCAAAGCTATTATCCTATTTAATCAAACTCAGCTTTTTTTTTTTTTATGGAGGCATGTTTTTATGTGTGTGTTTGCTTGTTTGTTTTTTGTTTATACATGGACTGGGTACAGTCAGAAGCGCGGGAGGGTGAGAGAATTCACCAGAGCCAGAGTGGGGAGCAGAGCAGGCAGAAGGACCGAAGTACACTGCTGAGGGGAGCAGCGGGCGGCAGGAGAGGTCTGCGCGCCATGTGGGACCCTCCTCTGGTGGCCGGGGAGCAGCCGGGGATTGAACCGGCGCCGCAGAGGCCGCGGGCAGCTTCGCAACCCAGAGCTCAACCGCTGCGCCACCGGGGAGGCCCCAAACTCAGCTTTTGAGTCAGTTCTCAAAGCAGCTGGGGAAAGGAGTCTAACAGAGGATGCCGGGGAAGCTAGACATGCAGACACCATCTGCTGGCCTCCTCTAGGTGTTTGGAGAAATGTTCAAATCTTCTCTCCATGTTTACATTGGATTGGTGGTGGTTTTTTTTTTTTTTTTTTTTTCTTCCTATTGAGCCCTGAGTTCTTTAGCTATTTGGGGTATTAATCCTTTTTCAGATACATGATTTGCAAATATTTTCTCCCATTCAGTAGCTTACCTTTTCACTTTGTTGACTTCTTAGTAGTGCAGCTTTTAAATTTGATGTAGTTTCACTTTTTGGTTTTTGGTAACAAATCTGAAATCACTAAGGCCAACATCATGGAGCTTGCTACCCGTTTTCCATGATTTTTGTGATTTCAGGCAGGCCTTACATTCAAGTCTTTGATCTCTTTTGAGTTGATTTTTGTGTGTGCTCTACGATAATGGTCCGATTTCACCCCTTTGTATGTGAGTCCAGTTTTCCCAACACTGTTTATTGAAGAGAGATCATGTCCTCTGCATAATCTTGACTGATTTGTCATAAACTGAGCATATATGCATGGGTTTATTGTACATTCAGTGGGTGGCCCGGAGCAGGTAGCTTTGACTATGTAAAAACAACAGGACGCTGTGCCGTGTGAGCTGTCTTGCCAGGTTTTCCTGTGAACTCAGGAACAGATCGTGTGGCCCCTCTGATTTTCCTTAAATTAAGCCAGTTTTTAAAAGATGTTAAATGTGCTTGTATATCCCAGTATGTTTCTCAATGAATATACTCTTCCCAGATCGAGTTGCTCACTCCTGATCCTTCAGTTCCCCTGTATTCACACAGTTGGCACTCGTCCTGTAGCTCCATGATCCTCTCCCTCCAAGGTGTAAACACAAGTTTGGCTTTTAACTCCCCAGTTTTGTCTGAATCTAGATGCTTCCTTCCTCAGACTTCCTTTATTCAGTACTTACTTTTTTCTGCCTGCATCCAGGTAAGGCCTTGCACACAATGCACTGTACTCTCTCCCACTTGGCTTTTAATCCTTCAGATACCAATTCAGTGGTCATTTCCTGTCATAGAATCGCACAATACTTACCTTATTAGCCTGTTTAATAGTCACACTATTTCGTTTTTAGGTTCTGAGCTATACTAGTGCAGAAAAGTTTTTTACTCACGAGTGGAATTAGGGCCTGGCACAGTTGGGAGTCATATATTTGAAAGAACAAATGAGTTACTGGGACTGATGTGATGCAGAACTACTTGCCTGTGAGCTCTTATAGTGTGGTGGATGTTTTATTGTATATGCATTGGGAGAAATTGGCAAGTGTGAAATTAGTGATAGGAAGAATTGAAATGATACAAACCTTTACTGTTTATACTCCAGAGTAGTCAGTAATGCCCCAGCATACTGTTCAAGGTCTAATTACAACCTGTAAAGTGCTCAGTGTGTCTGAGTCATGTCTGTACAATTTTCTAAATAAACAAGGACATGAGACTCACCGCCAGCTTCCTCTCAAATGGAGAATTAGCTGTAAGACTGCACCCAATGGAATAAACTCCTGAAATTTCCTCTACAATTTTGATTTCCAACTTGACGTGGTTGGAAAGGTAAGAAAAGCCACTGTCCAGTTACCAAACTTGTGGTCTGAGGGCCTCAAGTCTTTGTTTTTAATAAGCAATTACTTTGAGTACTTCCTATCGGCTTGTTTCTCCCCTCTGCAGAGTCTGTCCCACTGTGAGCTCATCACAGATGATGGGATCCTGCACCTGAGCAATAGCACCTGTGGCCACGAGAGACTGCGGGTACTAGAGTTGGACAACTGCCTCCTCATCACTGACGTGGCTCTGGAACACCTAGAGAACTGCCGTGGCCTGGAGCGCCTCGAGTTGTATGACTGCCAACAGGTCACCCGTGCAGGCATCAAGCGCATGCGGGTAGGTGTGGGGGCAGCGGTCTAGTCAACCAGGCCGATTCTCAGCCAAACATGAACATAGGCATCAACACCCATTTTCTACACTCTGTCCTTAGAAGTTCTGCACACTGATCTCTTCTTGGACTTCTTTGAATTCCCCTTATTCAGCTTCCACATAGAAGAGCTAATGTAAGGCAGAGGTTCCATGTAGTCTCGTGCTCAGCAGCTTATAATAGGGGCCTTAAGGTGTTCACCAGTCTTGGCTAATTTCTAGGTAAGAGGGCATATTAGAACGTGGCTTGCTTTCTGTGCATTCTTCACCACAGTTGTTTTCCTGAATATGCTCTGAGTTTAGGCCTGTTGCATTTACACTGCGAGGAGCCCCGTCCAGGGTGCTACAACTGCTGAGAACTCCCCTCAGTGGGCACACAGGACTAAGTCATCCCTTTGGGCATGATTTCCTTTTCTCTTTAGAAGATGCCGTTTTAAGGGATGTGTATGTTAGCAGGAGTGGTTCTGGCCTCCGCCAGAGACTTACCTTCCCAACAGTAAAGGTGATTCTATGTGGATATCTGTGGGCTTTTCTGGGTTTATACCCAGAACCCTAAAAATAAGTATGAAGACTGCATTTTTTTCTTCATTGTACTTTCAGGCTCAGCTCCCCCATGTCAAAGTCCATGCCTACTTTGCTCCTGTCACCCCGCCTACAGCCGTGGGAGGAAGTGGACAGCGACTCTGCAGGTGCTGTGTCATCCTCTGACAGCCATTGCCTGGTCTCAAGGCAAGAGGAGATCCCTTCTGCCAGAGAAGACCCGAGTCTTGCTGACCTACTCCACCGTCACCCAACTGTTTCTCCATTGAGAAAGGCATTTACAGGTAAAAGACTTCTGTAGGGATTACAATTACTCTGGTGATAGTTTTCACCTTTAATCTGCTGCGGTGCAATCAAATCAAAGCCTTGTTTCAGTTCACACTTGGCAAGAGTGGTCTCAGTGTAGCCAGGATCATGTAAGAAGCCTGGATTTCTTAAGATGTGGGTGCCTGCCTAGATACAAAATTCCTGCCCTCGGCTTTATCAGCATTCCTCAAACACATCAGTGTTAGCACAAGTTGAGCAGAAAAAAAAAAAAAAAAAACAAGCTGTTAATTTTCTACCTGATACTTAAGCCAGTGGCCTACTGTCATTCACATGATCCCATTTTGTTTATCAGGACTTTTCCACTTCAGCAACGTTATCGAAGTGAACTGTACTACAAATTCAGTGTCTTGATAGTTTTATAAGTAGAGACTTATGTGGAAGGCAAGTTAATAGGTTTCCACGAGACACCAAAGAAATGAGGACTCTAAGCTGGGTAGAGCAAGGTCTTCACCTTTCTGTCAACTTGTCATATACACTTCCGGGACCAAAAACACCTCAGAGTTTGTTGCCTGAGTGGAAATTCTAAGCTCTGGTGGATGTTACAGCATGTTTTTGTTACAGGAGAAAAGCTAATCTTGTCATCTGTCACAAAACTTGGGGGATCTTACAGAAAGAGAACTGATTAAGGCTGAAGTTACCTATAATATTAAAAAAATAATGAATGGATGCATGCAGAATGGGTGTGATTTTTTTCCCCAAGTTTATTTTTAAATCTTAGAAATCAAGTTACACCCAAACTATTGAAAATCTTTACACTTAAAACTCAGTAAAGTGTTGGCACTCATAAAAATGAATAAGCCATTGCAATGTCAGAGGATTTTATTGCTATATTCTTACGGCACACAACTCTGAGCAAAAGCATTTTCCAAATTTAGACTCTCCTAAATGTTATGATTTTGTGTTCTATCTGTTCACCATTGTGATCTTGATTAAAGATTAAGAACCCATCATCTCTTTCAGTGTGAACTTCTATGTTAATGGTAGTGGATCCTTCCTAGCAACCAGACTCGGGTTTCAGAGCTCAGAGAAACTAAAGTAGGACAGCAAAACCGAGATGTTTTCCTGTGACTAGCACTTCTTCATTTGGTTGGACAGTTTCAGAAGGATTTGGAATACAATGCCTCAGCAGCATTCTAGGAAAAGAAGGCAGGTAAATATATAAGCATTAAAGTCCTGATTGTTGTATTTCCTTACGGATATACCCCAGCATTTCCTGATCTAACGGTGTTGGTATACGACAGCAGTTATTTAAACGTCTTTTTGAGCCTATACCGGCTACTGGACTCGATGGTCAGTGACGACATTTACACATCAGGAGAAGCTCTGACTAGAAAATCAGGTTTGAACAGTTACTGGTATAACTTGTCAGCTTTGAGAAAACAAATTGAAAAACCACACACTGACCTCTGGCCTGTTGTGTCCTTAGAACACCCCCTTTGACTACGACTTGAGGTGACACTGGTAGGAACTGGAATTTTAAATGAGACACACTCTTGCAAAACATACAGAAAACATTTATTATACTGAAATGTATACACCCTACTGTTAAAAAAACAAAGTAGCAAATCTGCTGGTGCCATAATTTAACCTGTTTACTGGGACAAATGTTGAATGTCACTTGAGTTTTTAATTATTTTTACCCCACTTTTAAAACCTGATGAGGAATTCAAAATAGCACACAGCATTAAATGACATTTATTGTTCCAGAAATCTTGAGACCCAAAAAGGAATGCTAAAGAGACAAGCGAAACTCTATAAACAATTGCTCACTTCTTGCCCAAGTGACTGGTATAGGAAACGTGGTCGTACACAGGGAAAGTGACAGAAAGGAAAGCTCTCCTCCCTTGCAGGAGCTACAGAGGAGTTAGGTATTTTCAAACTGAAGATGGAAATAACCTCTCATGAATAAAACATAAAATGGCAAAGCTTTTACCCAATGGAAGCAGTTTGTCTTTGGGGAGAAATTTCAAACTCAAATCCTCCTTCTGCCTGAACAAAGGATAAGGATGAAATAAACAGTCAAAAACCAAGACACCTGGGTAAGTGGACAGAGATGCTATAATTAAATGGCCTTGAAGTTAAAAGTTGCATCTGCTATACCACAGGCTTCAATAATGCATGCTGATGAATTTTGAAAAGGGAGAACAGGAAAAGCTAAAAGCAGATTCCCTTTGAAAAGTATATTGGCAAACAGCATTTGGTTTTGTGGAGGAGGCACTCTTCATTAAAAAAAGAAGCGATCATGTGGTGTAGGAAAAAGCCCCTAAGTAATCACCAGAATATTTAGTCATGATTGTAACTCAATATTTGAGAAATGTAAGGAATTTCTGTGGTACAATTTAGTGTCTGATTTATGATTCTTAGTGTTTCATGATAACGATGATCCCTTAACACCAAGTCAGAAAACGGTCACGCTCCCCCTGCCCCTGCTTTAGGCCATCTCTTTCCAGTGCCTGGGATAGGACTTTTAAAATGCTTCAGACTAGGATGGAGTGGGATAGGAAGGGTGGTCAGAGACAGAGGGGAAAAAAAAAGAAAGCCACTAGTTTAAAAGGCAATGGGGCTTCAAAAATGAAAATCAGAAACAAAATGCTAAAATGGAAGCAGACACAAAGTTTTTCAATAAATCTGTGACAAAGCAGAAAACAAACACAAAAGTCTTTGTACCTATTAGGATTTACACTGATCCTCTCAGCAAGGTACTCTTGATAATGCAGTTTGCTTCAAGCCCACCTTCCTGGCTTGGATCTTCCCCGATCTGGCATGACCACATGGGACACACACCCTTAGACATGATTTCTTCTGAGAAGGTACCGAGCCTCTTACCTGACCAGCGACCGCCAGGTCAGACGCAGCTTCTCCCCGTGGACACACTCCCAACAGCACGGCTGGCTCCACAAGAGCACTGTCCAGGTCAGCATGAGGTTCAGGCAGTAAAAGCCAGACTGGCACGAAAAGGTAAATGCCCAAGTACATTTTTACATTCATTTCCAAACCGCATACAGTGTAATGAGACAGCAAAGGCTGCTTCTAGGAACGGTATCTACTGGCCTCTGCCAGGGAAGCAGGCAGCCCTGCCTGCACCACGGCCCCAGAGCTGCACGCTCGCTGGCCAATGTGCTCACGCTCACTAGAGGATGCTGGGCTGTGGCAGTGACAGTGACAGTGAGGAGATTCGCCTCTCATACAGCTCATTAGAAAGGTCATCTTGTGTTTTCAATATGAAACATTTCATACAGTAAAAATCCAATCCCAAGACTTCTTGGATTCAGTCTTCACACACTTTTAAGCGTGACTTTATTTGGTACTGAGTATAGTTCAAGCTACGTAAGACATCACTTCAAAATTATGTGGATACCATCACCATTTTCAACTGCAGAAAAAGGAAAGAGAAGTTACAACTGAAAATTCCTGGAAATGTCTATGCACCCCCCACCCCGCCCCATTCAAACTCTTCTGGAGGGGGAAAAAAAAAAAAGCGAACGTGTACAAGCTCCTCTTCCTTAATGCCACATCACGTACACCTTCCCCTTTCAGACATTTCACCTTTGCTCCTGAGCCCATCAGGGCCCACCCATCTTTCTGGAAATAATTTTTAAATTTAGATGTGAAATATTTGAAAAAAAAAATAGTGCCAGTTCTGGCTGATGTCCTAGTTTCTCAAGAAATGGTGTGTGAGCCATGGCAGGTATTCGTGAAGGAAAAAAATGAATTTTTTTCATGAGGCCAAAAGTCTGAAAGACAGTGCACTGAGCTTGGATATTGTATTATTCAATCAGATTTGACCTTAGCAATGTCCACTGCTTTCACAGAAATACAGCCATAACTTTAAAGTATGAGTTTCCTTTTTTAGGCAATGTGAATTTTGCAAAGTAAAAACCATATTGGATTGAGGACAAAAAATTGAGAAGTACTTCTGAGAAAGTACAAGATAAAGTGAGTCAGTTCCGAGTTAAAATTCAGCCCTGCAGCTAAGCTAACCTGATGCCATACGCACCATGTCAGGCACAGAGTGAACTCAGCTTCAGCACTGTTCTGGACTAGTCCCTTCAAGAATGACTTCTAAGAAAGGTGAGACATGACATCTTACTCTTGTTGATGCAGCTTTTGTGCTAATAATCTAGATTTTAACCCATCAGATTTTTTAAAGTCTGCACACATGACTTTGTCATGTAAAATTTTAAATTAAAAAAAAATTCATCCTTTAACTCTTTCATACGACTTTTCTGAGCCCTGTCCAGATCCATTTCTCAGCCTCTCTTTAAATGACATGTATGACTGTCTAGGGTTTGAGTACACTACTGATAATGTTGGCGGCTTCTGAACTGACATCTCCTGCCGGCCCCTGACGGAATCACTGCCAGTGTGACATTTTCAGACATCGACCATGGCACGTTTGATTGTTGTCCCCAGTCACACCCGCCTCTTTACTGGGACCACTGTCTGCCCATTGCTCTTAGAAGAGCCACAACCACTTCTCCCTCAAATGTGAAGCCCAGCAGAGCCCAGTGTTAATGTGTGAGACACCATCACCTCTCACCCAGATGACACCTCCTGCGTCCAGTTTTCCCCCCATCTCCGCCTCCACGGAGACGCAGGAAACACTGAATCACATTATTCCTCTACTTAAACTTCAATGACTTCCCAAAGTATTTCAAATAAAAGCTACTATTAGTAAGTCACACTGACGCCGCATTGCTCTGCAAATCCCTCACCACACAGTACGTGGCAGCAATGGGACTTCTTTTGGGCCTCCAAAGAAGTCAAGCATTTCCCTTCCTAGACAGCCCCATACCAACTTGGGGTGCCTCTCACATGGCTGGCTCGCTCTCACTATTCATGTGTCAGCATTAATGACGTTTTTTGGAGAAGCCTTGCCTGACAGCTTCATGACCCTTATCCTCACCTATCCACTTTCCCATTGCAACACAGCAGGTAAGGTAAATACTCATTGAGTGCTGCTTATAACACACACATGATCTGTCATGATCCCAGCATTTCAGCATGCATGCAAAGTACCTTTTACAGTGGAGAATAAAAAGCAACTCTCATCTTGAAAGTTCTGAACCATCTAGAAGGATAAAGCAGATATATAATTAAAAATCCTATCATCCTTGCTTAACTGAGTAGAAAAGATTACAAATATTAACATAAAATGCCGATGTGTATATTGATGCACAAGTATGGAATTCAGTAGCCAAGACTGTAATACTTCGTGAAGGCAGCGTGAGGTATAAAAAGTCATAGCTGCTGCACTGGCAGGGCCTTGTGCTAGTAATAGTCATGTCTGCCTGTGGTGGGTGCTGAGAGCCTTGCGCAGTCCCCCACTGGATCCAGCCGGGAGCATTCCTGCTGGGTCCTATCTGCGGTGACTAACGAAGCCACCACGGAAGTGATCTTCTACGACTACCTGCTTGTCTCTGACCCGTGGGGGGAAGTGGTACTTTTACCTTACTGTTTTTCAGTCAAATAGTGAAGAAAAGGAAAATACATCTAGATGAATAAAAATGGGCCAAAGCCCCGCTGTCCTTCACAAGTCCTCAAGTGTTTGGATTCAAAACGGAGGGGTGGGGGAGGAAATAGTTATTTCATTTGTATTCGTTGTATTACTAGGCTCCTAAAACTCTTGCTTATAAATTCTCATAAAAACGTTCAATTCTCTGAAAGTGATTCTCCTAAGTACTTGCAGAAGAGGTCACAGGGTTTCCGTATTTCTTCAGTGACATGTAAACTATCAGTGTGAAAGGGAAAAGCAAATGGGCATGCCGGTTCGTTACCTGATCGCTAACAAGAATGTGAATACCAGTAGGACCCTGTCTGTAAACCTGATTTATTTGGTGGAAAGGAATATTAAACACCAATGCAAGTTTTCGAGCGACTTCTGAGGCAACCATCTCTTCCAAGTAGATTGCATGATAAACTGAAATAAAAAATAACATTTTAGCAGAAATATTTCATGTTTTCCGGGCGATCATAATACGAAACATTTCAAAGCAGTAAAAATGAAAACGGGAACAAACTATTTCCTGACCCCTTACTACCCTAAAATCTCAACTTCCCACCTGAGACACATTAATTATAATGTAATATGAACAGTAATGTATGACCAAAAAGTTGGTGTTTTTTTATTGAAAACCAACGGGATTTGTCTGCAAATGTACATGGGTGATCTTTCTGGGGTAAATGGGATTGAAATTGGATTGTGATGGTGGATGCAAAACTGGAAATTTACTGAAAATGTCACTCAAATTATAGTTAAAATGGGAGGATTTTATGACACATAAATTACATAGATCTTTTCAAATGTGTATTTCTAGCAATATACAGAAAGAGCCCTAGAAACGTCATTTTTGATTCACTATGTCCAACTGGGAATGTGTCCTAAGGAGATTAAAAAAAAGCTGCCTCACCCACCCCAAAAAATTAAAAGCTATGTGAAAGATTCCCCCCCCCCACCCAAATGAATGTGGACAGAGGGCCTGATTTAGTATTTAAAAGGTTATGGGCCGTGGGCCTCCCCTGGTGGCGCAGCGGTTGAGTGCTGGGCTGCTGGGCTGCGAGGCTGCCCGCAGCCTCTGCAGTGCCGGTTTGTTCCTCCACCGCCGGCGAGGGTCCCACAAAAAAAAGTTATGGGCCGCTTTGTTGCGATTTACATCGTGACATAGCCTGAGAGCAGAGAGGAAGGTTAGTGAGACGGTGCCGTTGCTGCCCTTAGCTGATGAGGTACAGGTGGTCCCAGTGCGCCTGACTGCAGGCCCTGCTGACTGTATTCACACCCTCTTTCTCTAGCTCCTTAATAGGTATTCTGAAACAGCCTAGGGTGGGGACCTCCCCAGTGGCGCAGCAGGCTAAGCCGCAGTGCCATCACCGCTGCGGCCCGGGCTCGAGTCCCGGCCGGGGAGCCCACAACCCAGCTAGACGATGCAGCAGATGCAGAAGATTTTTCCGGCAGCCAAGGGAGATGGAGATAGAGATAGAGACCAAACCCGGGGATAGGGGACTAGGGGATCAAACCCTGGGATAGATGGAGGGCAAGGGGGACAGGACAGGGGAACTGGGATAGATGGAGGGCAAGGGGGACAGGACAGGGGAAGATAGATACGGAGGGAAGGAGGCGGAGAGAGACATGAGATGGGGCTGGACCGAGCCGGCGCAGCAGGGATCCCCAAGAGCCCCATCAAACATTTTGAAATTGAAATGAAACATGGAAAAAGCTGTAAACCAAAGTACTTTTCAGAGCTCCATGCATTATTAGTGCAAACAGCTGCCTCTTTGAATTGTGTAAGACAACTTTTCTCTGAAAAGCTCTATTGTGTTGCCCTCATTGTTTCCAAATGTGGGGAGGAGGGAGATGTTACCACTACCCACCATACAAACGAGAAAACACATGCTTTCAGAAAGTTTTCATTGGGCCTCCCTGGTGGCGCAAGGGGTGAAGCGCAGCACTATGAAGGGTCCGCAGCCTCTGCAGCATGAGTTCAATCCCGGAGTTCGATCCCCAGGTGGCCAGGGAGCAACCAACCCACATGGCACGGCAGACCTCTCCTGTCTCTCCCGCTGCTCCCCTCAGCAGTGTACTTCGGTCCTTCTGCCTGTTCTGCTCCCCGCTCTGGTGAATCCTGTCACTCCCCGCCACATCTCTGGCCTGTACCCCAGCTCTTGTATGCAAAAATAAATAAATCTTTTAAAAAAAAACAAAGTTTTCATTAAGGACCATATTTTGAGGAAGGGAGCGCGGCCAGGATCATGATCTCTGCCCTAATCCAGCTTCCATTCTGGAAAACCAGCAGGGACAAAAGTCCTCTGATACGCGAATGGAATATGATGCACATATATTGACGGTGACACAAGGACACAGCACCAGGCTCCCTGCACAGAGCCCACAAGGCCAGCCAGATGTGTGAACACCCAAGGCTGTTGTTAGACAGTTTCATCTTTGCACATGTCCCATCTTCTCTCCCCTAGTCAGTAAAAGGGAAAAAAAAAATCCCTCCTTTTTTGCCAAGCTACCAATGTTCTTGTAGTCATCACTTAAGAAATCTGAAATTTTAAGAAAAAACAGCAAAAGCCCAACTATTCCAGCTAGTCTTTCCCTTCTTGGCTACTTCTGGCATTAAGGGTCATATGAAAAAGATCCATAGTGTGGCTGAAATAACTAAAGAAAGTGGTTTCCTTGGCCCTCTAGCTGCCAGGATTCTTTCTGGCTTCTGCCTCAGTATTCACAAAGGGCTAACAGGAGGCTGAGATGCCCTCAATACCCACCGAAGGGAGTCCCACTGCCATTCTCGCCTCCACTGCCCGGGGCCTGCCGCTGCCCTTGCAGCAGTGCGTTGCTTGGCTGCTCCTGGCAGACATAGATGGTTAAACGGGGCCTAACCGACCTGCAATGAGAAGATGCCACCCATGAGCCTGGGAGAGAAAGCTGCCTCACAAAATGTACAAATGACAACTACAGGAATCTTAGTTCTATTTCCTTACAAGAACTTTACAGTGCTATTTCATTATACAAAGTAATTTACTAATAAAAATATAAAAACACACACCTCACTCCAACTATCACAGGTGGTCTAATCTGATGATCCAGACTCTAAACCACTGAGATGGTCTGTCAGAGGCTGGTAAATTTAAGTTTCAAGATTAAATCAGCAATTTAAAATACCAGTAAGATTCAGTTTTCATGGAATTTTCACACAAGTCTAGAAATAGCAATGATAGTAAAGTCTCTGGTTCCATCACTTTAATTCACAATTAGAACGTTACATTTTTAATAACTGTTTAGTAGTCGTCACATGACCTTGAAAACCATCGATTCTGTGTAGCTCACCTAAACGAGAAGTTTGTTTTCTTGGCAACAAAACCCAGTCGTCTTCAAGAAATCAGTACTGCCCATGTGCATTTCTACCCGTCTTAGTCTACCTCTGCCCTCATCAGTGCCTGTATCATATCTGGGCCTGCCCTGAAGGTGCACACAAAAGTCTTCTTGTGAGCATGAGCTGCCAATGCGCCACAGCACACGCAGGCACATGGCCAACCCAGTGTGGAAACACATTCTGCCCAAACTCCCCACACAAAGAAAGGAACAATCTCATTTCAAGCAAAACAGTTCTTTTAAAGTTTTTTACCTTGACTTCAATGAATTATAGAGCCGAATTCCATCGGCTGCACCACAAATTTGTACTAAATCCTCCTTTGTCAGTTTTAATAAGTCGGCACCTGCAGGACAGCAAAAAGAGATTCTTATCAAAGCAAAACAAACTAGCAGGGCTGCATCCTGAGCATACACACACACGAACAACACAACAGTACGCACTGCACCTGTCCCCTGGAGCCAAAGAAATTGCTGGCTCATTCATGTCCTCTATCAAGAAGGGGCTAGAAGCCCAGGGGTGGGGCTCTCTAATCAGCTACTGGGGCCTTTCAAGCCACCTGTGCAGTTGTTCACTGTGGACTTGATTTTGGCTGGTGCTTGTGTGAGTACACATGGCTCTGACCTTAGATGATTAACCTTGGGAATACCCAGACCAACCTCTTATTTTATAAAAAGAGGAAAGTCCAGGCTTTTGGGGACTTGTCTTAAGTTATAAAAGTTGGTGGCAGCGCTAGAACTCTAGACCTCTCCATGCTGCAACATGCAGTATACAGTCCAACATTCTGTAACATAACAACTCTGTCACAGCAGCCAGTTCTAATATGGAAGCATGACAGAACTGCTCACTGTACCGAAAGATTTGTTATCCCTGGTAACTGTGAATGACACAGTGTCTGATCTGTTTGACTAATACAACAGGAAGGGGAAAGGAAGTGGTACAGAGAGAGACTATCCCAAGGCTGGCCATTTTTGAAGATAGGGGTGGTAGCTGGGAGTTCATTTCTGACTTTTATGTTTGAATGTGTCCATAATCTTTGTTTCTTCCTTTAAAAAAAAAAAAAAAAAAAAACAAAAACCCAAGAGATAGCTTATAAGGAGAATTAAAAAGGCTTCTAGGATTAAGGCATGAACTTCCATGTGATAAATTACATAATGAGATAGTGGAATTAACTATTTTGGGGGCCTTAAATGTAAGAACCTTTACATTCTAGTTTGTAAAAGGAATAAAGCACCTATCTCCTGAGGCATGAGCACCGATGGGGATCATTAAATGGAGTCAGATAAGCAAAGACATCTCTCCACTGGAGCCTCACCTGAAAACAGCTCACTTGTGACCGGATGTGTGTATGCACAGGTTAAACCCCGAGAACCAGACAAACTCAACATAGATAGCCCCTGAAATACGAATGCCCAAAGGCTCAGAGCGAGAAGCCCCAGCCTCCTCACCATCTTACTGTTGGGGACGCACAGGGTAAGGACAAAGCAGGAGGCAAGGCATGTAGTCACTGCTCACAGTGAGGAGAGCTCAGCGCTCCCCAGATGGAAACATATCTGACTCTAACAGGCTTAATCCGGGACCTCCTGCAGTAGTCCCACTGCCAGAGTCTGTGCTAAGTGCTTGTCTCTCTGCTATGCTCTTCATCTGTCTCCCCTCTTTGGATTCAAGATGTGACCCCCCTCCCACTGAAATTTGTAAGTTTGTTTTGCACAGATAAAAGGCTTTACTTAATCATAAAAATGTGACTATCAGCTAGTAAACAACTTTCTTTTTTTTTTTTTAATCTTTTTATTTTTTTGTTTTTATAGAGGCATGGTTTTTTTTTTTTTTTTTTTTTTTATTTATTTGTTTGTTTGTTTGTTTTGTTTATACATGCACTGGGTACAGTCAGAAGCACGGGAGGGTGAGAGAATTCACCAGAGCCAGAGCGGGGAGCAGAGCAGGCAGAAGGACAGAAGTACACTGCTGAGGGGAGCAGCGGGCGGCAGGAGAGGTCTGCGCGCCATGTGGGACCCTCCTCCGGTGGCCGGGAAGCAGCCGGGGATCGAACCGGCGCCGCAGAGGCCGCGGGCAGCTTCGCAACCCAGTGCTCAACCGCTGCGCCACCGGGGAGGCCCAGCTAGTAAACAACTTTCCTCCAGTAAATTTCCTCCATGCACAAGTACTGCAGTGCATGTGACATGATAGGAAGCCATGCATTTTGTGAGCTCAAGCCTTCCTCTAGGTCAGGTGTGTGCGCACACATGCAGTCTCTTGGAGGCTCAAGTGATCCTTAGGGCCGCATGGCACCAGGGCAAAGAAGGCTGACTGCATTTTACTGCGGCCCAGCATTTCTCAAGATGCATTTGACCAGGACGTGTTAGTAGTCTGTAGGAAAAGGGTCTGAGGGTCAATACGTTTTGGAAATGCTGCCCTGTTCCACCTGATGTATCTATGACTGTCCTAAGCAGGTTTTCTCCAGCAGCTCCTGGAGTAGCACAGTTCCCTTTCAAAATTCCATTTAAACACTCCTTTAAGCTTACTACACAAGAAAAAATTATGCTTAAAGATATAAACACCACACGAGTACATTCACAGCACACAATACCACACGGTAAAGAACCAAGTACTGATACATGCAAGTTGGATGGACTTAAAGGCATGCTGAGTGATAAGTCAATCTCAAAAGGTTACATTCAGTATGATTCCATTTATACAACATTCTTGAAATGATAAAATCATGAACATGGGGATTAGAGATCACGGGGAAGGGGTACGGGCAGCACTAGGGGAGATCCCTGTGGTGATGGTGCAACTCTGCATTCTACCTTTGTTGGTAGTCACAGGAATCTTATCACTGATGAAATGAGACAGAACTACACACACCAACGTCAATTACTTGGTTTTGGTATGAGATCATATAATTACGAGAGCAATGGCGCCAAGGGGGGATACTGGAGCATCTCTGTGCTATCTTTGCAATTTACTGTAAGGAAAAAATTACTTAAAAAAAGAAACTGCATGAACTCTGAACACTGTAGGCAAGAGAGGGCACATAAGCTAGTGAAGTAGCAGACTGTACAAAGTCAGTTATCTGGCTTTGATAATGTACAACAGGGATGCAAGATGGCACCTATGGGGGGGAAAGGGCGCGAGGCATGCCTTCTGATAAATTTCTCATGAAATCTACAATTATTTCCAAATTTAAAATTAAGGTTAAAAAAGGGAGAGAAACACAGACAAAACATGAATACACATGCACACCTACCTGAAAAATTGGAAAACAGTCTTGTGTAGGAAGAGAATCTGTTTTTGAGCAGCCATTGTTGTGTTTCCTGGATCGTGGCTGAAGGCTGAAGTTGCTGTTTAAAAAAAAAAAATGAACATACACAGAAGAAACTATGGCAACTTACAAAAAATAACTGAAGTCAGCATCATATGATAAAGAAATCCTCCAAGTACAAAGATACAAAGTAAAAAACATCCAAGAAGAATACAGGTCTGACTAAGCAAAAAATGACAAGCCCCTGTCAGAGCCTAAAAAAAAAGGACTCTGAAAGATCTGATTGCTTTAGGAAAAAGACACTTACTTCACTAGAGGACAATGAAACTCCATCTCCCTGATGATTTGGGGAAGAAGAATTGCTGGGGAGAAGGAAGGAATGGATGATTATTATATTTATATTTTAGATCAAGACAAAGACCATGAAACCAGGTAATTTAAAATACTTTGGGTCACAGCAAAGTTAATTTATACTAAGAACGTTAGCACAACTAGTCAGGGATTGAATGTGACAGTGAGATTAAAACACAGAAGACTTTGTTGATATGTGCATCTAACTTCATCTATTCTAGTACAAAATTCACATTTTATGAAACAAAAGGGCTCCAGGGGTGCCAGGACAATGAAGGATAGTCATTCAGTTTTATCAGGAAAAAATATGAGAAATCAAGTAAGATATGCAGTTAAAAAATAATTGCAAAGAAAATCTACTTGAAGAAAATAGCTGTAAGAGACGGTCTAAGAATCTGAAATCAAAATAGAAAATGGTATCTCTTTAATACATAAATCCATACTTTAAGAGGACAAAATTCAAGGGGAAAAAAGGCAAACCCAACTTGTATTTCTAAGGCAAAATGAGAACTTAAAATTCCTCCTGGTTCTGAGCACCAACTTTGTTTTAGTGCACGCGCCCACGATCACTCAGGTCTATTGCGCTGCATGTTTTCCATCCTTCTCCACCCAGTAAAATGTTAGGTCCTTCCGATAGGGCTGTTTCTGTCCCTTATAAATCACACCACCTGCAACGGCGCTGGTAGCAGTGGGCTTTTAGAACTATGAGGTCAGCAGTGGGTACATGAACTCACAGTTCATCTTTAAAATCAATCTTTTTCTAAGTTTACTCAGATGGAACTGAGAGACTGCGAGGGTCCCTCCCCTCTGCTGGGCCCTGCTCACTCCCCTCTCTGAGTCTGTTCTTCAAGCACAACAATCTACAGAAAAACAAGCTGCTCTGTCAGTCTATCCTCCTCAGGGAAAAGCACGTTTTTGTCTGTTTTCTCATCAGAACCTATTCTGAACTGAATGCTTGTATTCCCTCAAAATTCCTATGTTGACACCTTACCCCCAGTGTGTGATACAGAATTAGAAGCAGAACATTTGGGAATTAGCATCAGATGAGGTTGCAAAGGCGGGGCCCCCAAGAATGAGATCAGTGCCTTTACAAGAGTCCTGAGAGCATGTGCTTCCAGCGCCCTGCTCTCTATCTCCGCTGTGGGAAGCTACTCAGTAAGTCGGCATCTGCGACCAGGAAAGATTTCTCACTGGAACCTGACTCTCCTGATACTGGCGTCTGGCCTCCAGAACTGTGAGGAATAAAGGGACTAGGAGCAAAAGGGCTAGTAGGTGAAGAAGTGACCATTTTCCCCTAAAATTAAGGTGCAGGCTATTTCCCAACACTATGTCTCTTTCTCGATATATACATATCGAGAAATATATATACATATATTGAGAAAGAGAGAGAGAGAGAGAGAGAGAGAGAGAGAGAGAGAGAGAGAGAGAAGAGAGAGAGAGGGAAAGAGAGAGACTTTGCTATAAAATGAAAGGGAAATAAAGGAGCATGAGTATCAGTTAGCTGCAGGCACACAATTATACAAACCAAATACCTGTCCGGGATACTGCAAGTGCTCTGCTGAGAGGAGGTGAAAGTGGGTGCTGTGGAAGGACTGTTATTCACATAGGTGGTAGGGGCATCAGGCCATGGAGAACACTAAGGATAGAAACAAAAATAAATTAATGACATGCTTTTAAAGTATGTGGAAGCAATATCTGTTTACAATTTACTCTAGTCTGGCCTACTGCAAGACTATAAAACACAGAACACCTGACACGCATCAGGCACCCTCACAGAAACATACCGAATAAAGTTCTGTGTGGTAATGAAAAATTTTACCTGCCGGAGGAGTCTAGACCTTAGGTAATCTTAGAGAAGACCTGAAGTGATGATAGCAGCAAAAAAAATTTACAAAGGTATTTTCAGTGTGTACTTATGTACAAATTGCTTTTGAGAACTCTCACACCCATTTTCATTAGTTGAAACAGGCGCCTACCAAGGTTTAAGAACAGAAGAGATAAGAGAGGGTTTGTAATCAACATTGACCATCACCCGGTGAACAGGACAGGGAGGCTGTCCTTCCCAGTGCTCTTTTTGTCCTCCTCTCTGTGAAAGCCTCAGTAACACCCGTTTGCTTCCTGACCTTCTGAAAATACTCCCCAGGTAAGATCCCACTGGCCCAGCGACACCTCTGTAGGGCAATGCCTGTATCTATTTACATGCGTGCTTTCTATATCTTCCAGGAAGGACATGGTGAACCTAATACTTTTCAGTTCCAGGCACAATTCTGACCAAAAAGCCACGATTCAAACACACTCACTGTCACAATTAGGAGCTGAAAAAGCTAGTCTTGCACAGAGTGGATCAGGGTGGTCTTCAAACCTGAGCTGTGGCGGTTTCATGCTACAGCATGGGGTGTTCTTTCTAGAACTAACCTGCCCGAACATGCCTCTGGTTTCAGGGGTCCCCATTAATAATCAGTCTTCTCCCGTTTTACACAAGGCATCACATCTCACCATGGCGATGGGCACAAGACTCTCCCTACCCCCCTCCCAAAAAAAAACAACACCCACAGAAAACTCAGGAGGACGTATTGTCAACTGATACAAATTGAAATAATCTACTAGATCACACAAAAATAGGTCACTGGGATTTTTGACAGATAACGCAAAAGGATTCTAAGATATGAATAACAGTGCTCAAAGGAAAAATAAACCTAAAGTTTCTCTTAGCAAAAAAAGCTATCAATTGTGTTTTACCCTGTCTATTCAAGATGCATCTCTAGTAACCTTTCTATATTTATATTTAACAATTTCTCAGAATTTCTATCACTTGTCAGTTTGATAAATTAATAGTAATACGTTTAACGTTTCTCAAATGAGTAAAGGGACTACAGTCACAGGGAACTTTACAAATTAAATTTTAATTTATAAAAGTTCATTGTAAAGAATTAGAGTGACCATTAAAGGATTTTCAGGCATAAAAAGCGTGACATTAGGATGAACTTATTTAAGAGGAAAGGAGAGGATATATTAGATCAGGAAAGAGCAGCACAGTCAAATTTCAGACTTAACTAAAGAGCTTGCTCATCATCTTAAGTGGTATTTAGATTCCACAGCATACACTTCAAAAAATATGCATGTTTTTATCTTAAATTGTGAATATAAATATTCGCTATGCCAGAAAGCTGTCTCCTTTGCAATTATTTAAATTTATTACGAAAATTTCAGATGTTATCTAAACATGTGCAATGGACTTTTTCCAAAATTCTTTTGAGTGTAGGAATGTCAAAACCACACTGGTGTGGAGGAGTTAGGAGACTGCAAACACACTGAGGCCAGAAACAACTTCTCTCTCATGGTTACAGGAACTTAAAACATTTCTGAACCCATCAGATAGATGGAACAAGGAAAATAAAATAGTAATTCCATAATCTTAATAAATACTATGTATCTCCTCAAAATGGGGGGTGGGGGGGGATGCAGACTTCACTATTTCAACTATTACTAACTTTTAAGAAAGAAATTTAGCTGGACAGCATTGCTAACTTATGGTACGGCACATCAATTTCTCTGCTAATACTATTTTACATATTGCTTATTCTTTTTAAACTGGAGCCTTTGTTTTTCTTTCCTTCTTACAAAGTAGAACCAAATGGCAGGTCTAATCATTTATGGGTGTCACATGCTCATGGTTATTTCTACTACATGGAAGAAGTTCCTGCTACACGCGAGATAAGATGTGACAACAGTATAACAAGAACATTTAAATAACGTAAACCTTTTAGCATCAAGGCTCCTTAAATTTGGCTTGGTAATTTTTGCCACCTGTTTAGTTGAAGAAATGGACTCATCAAAAACTTCTCGTATGGGGCTTCCCCAGTGGCACAGCACTTGAGCGCTGGGTTGCGAAACTGCCCGCAGCCTCTGCAGTGCCAGTTCGACCCCCGGCCACCAGTGAGGGTCCCACATGGCGCGCAGACCTCTCCTGCCGCCCGCTGCTCCCCTCAGCAGTGTATTTCGTCACTCTGCCTGCTCTGCTCTCCTCTCTGGCACTGGTGAATTCTCTCACCCTCCCGCACTTCTGACTGTACCCAGTGCTTGTATAAATAAATCTTAAAAAACAAACAACAAACAACAAACTTCTAGTATGGCAGAGTAATATGGAAAAAGACATCAAATTTCCTGAAACTGTACACACATAGCTGTATCACATCTAGATTGATAGCAGAAAAGTAGGGCTGTCAACAGTTGACATCTATACTTAGTAAATCAGACTCAAAATCACTGAACACTAGAAAACTAGTGTTCAATGAAAAGTGGTCATCTTGTTTGCACCTACATTTAGAGTAAGTCCTCAAATGGACAGGTTGAATGAAAGATCAACACCTCCCTACTTTTGTACTATAGACGGTTCTCTTGCAGTCAACCCAGGAGGGTAAAGATGTACACTAAGGAATATTTTCACAGCATTTCTTCTACTTTGTCATTCTTCCGTCTTTAAAAGTTAGCAATAGGGCAGTGTCTGTGTTCAGAAACACAATCTATAAATCACACTCTCCAGCACTACCTGGCCTGGGCTCATTTTCATGGTTTTGGTATACTGTGAACAAAGCCCCTCTCCAGGATGACCAGAAGGCAATGTTCCACCTTAAGCTGCAGGAATTGGTAATGCTGGTATAAGCCAATGAGAGACTGAAGAGTTTTACTCTGCAGCAGCAACTAAGAACCAAGAGTAGTGACTCTATTCAAGGTGGGGTCCTATCACAGCACGTTTTAGATTTTAACAGATAAACCTAGATTTCCCTTTTTATTGAGAGCCTACTGTAACTGTCAGCTCCTCCTTTGTAAGTACTTTAAGAAGCGTATGTAATGCTGTAGGATTTTCTTCTTTAAGGGATTAACCTGTACCTTGATTTTTAAAAACAAGTTTCCAAGGAGCTCTAACCACCCTTAGAAAGTTATTAATCAAACCAAATGTAGCCCAGGGCAGCAAGCAACTAGGAAGATGTGAAATCCCAGGCCAGTGAACTGCTGACGTTTTGCATACTTTAGACTTGATTTTAAAATCATCAGTAATATAGCAATAATACTACCATCTTCAGATTAATTCTGGACTAGAACAGATTTTTTACATTTATGAACTATCAGAAACCATCGGTTTTAAGTAAATGTATATTTTAACAAGAAGGGGAATGTGACTGAGTTACCAGGAGTCCCCAGAAAGCTTACTAAGAACCTCTTATGAGTCTCCAGCTGAGAAATCACAAGGGTGTAAAAACATATACCTGGAGGGGTTGGCATTTTGGGGAGGGAGTATTCAGTTGTTCCAAGCAAACTTTGATTTGAATTTTAAAAACCCAGTTAAAGAAAATGCAACATGTGCTCCCCAGGACACTCAGATGAGTACCTTTTCAGTTTTGTTGCATAAAGAAGCATTTAAAGCATTTTCACTCAGTGCTTTAAGTTGAAAATGATGTTCATATGATAGTGCTTGTGATGGCCACTGTTTACAGATGAGGGACTATTCCATCTGTGGAACCTTGACAGTACAAACACTAAAATGATGAATAGAGTGGCCATTAATACAGAAACTGACTTTTTAAAAAGTTCTTTAATGTTCTGTATTTACATTTCAGATATATTGGGGATCAAAACCAGAAAATCCTTTTGTGGACTGTAAGATGAAGACTTGAGTTGTGTCACAAAATAAAGATTTGCTATACTTCAACTGACAGAGTCATCAACCAGAGGCCCCCTGGCTGCATTTAGGGAAGCAGGTGAGTGAGTGTACAGCAAGGTGCACTGTTCTGGCCTGAAAGCAGAAAGTCACAATGCGGTTGCTGAGAGGAAACACTAATGCAGGCAAAGATTATTTTTCTACCAGTGCTGCCAAACAGGCTTTTATAAGCAAAGACAGACACACATTCTTAGACTACATGCCGGGAAATGTGACAGCCAGTACTGCAAATGCTCATGTCAAGCTTGCTGCATTTCTCTACATATCTATGAAATTTTCTTAGCAGTTATACATGAGAAAGCAAAACCTTTTTAATTACATAAAAATGACAACTAGTTTACTAAAAGTCTTTTCAGTTGATTTCAGGGTTCTAGAAGAAAGTGTGTGTGTGAAGGAGAGAGGAAAGGAAAGGGTGGGAGAAAGGCAAGGGGGGGGGGGGAGGCGGGCAGGGAGGAGGAACACCATTTGTGAGTGTCGTTTTCTTTCCCCCTTCAAAACCACCCAATATGGTCAACATTGTTTTTGCTTTGTTTTAAAGTGTTAGATTTAGGAAATTTTCCTCAGTGAGGAACAAACAGAAAGCAGGAAATCTAAACAAAAGCAAATTAAATCAAGACAAGGACATCAAAAACAAATTTGGCTTTACTTTTCAGTGGAAGTTGGTCCTATATCTAACACTGCACAAGGTTTCTTGCACAATGAAAAGAGAAGCAGAAGTCCCTTACACTGCCTCGCTTTGCCAGAGAATCACCGTAGTCTGCTGGCAAAGTCCGCTTGCTGGACTTTTTCTGCTCATGTTCAACTGCATCTTCAATTATAGGCTCAAGCCTCATCTGGACAAACACCAAAGATTGGGATCAATGTCTTTTCATTATACAAAGAAAGATCTAATACCCTGTTTATGTCTCTGCAGTCCAATTAAACAAATGTATGACTAGCAGGATTCAAAGTTAAAGAAAATGCAAAACCCCAGCAGTGACAAAAAAAAAAAAAATCAGACAGCTAGGCCCGACTGAATCTCTTTGCCAACCATCAAGGTTTTTAAGGTCTTTCTAAGACCTGATTGGGATTCCAGCATCTTCGTTCAAGATCCCACCCAGGAAACTAGTCCATTAAAATCCCAAAATTTAAATAACATACTTTCCCAAAAATTTCATGAATACTATGTCAAGTTGCCCCCAATCTTCCCCAACCCCACTGCAGCAAAACTCTAATCCTTAGAGATTGCTACTACTCAAACCTCTGCTCTCTAGAAACCAAAACAGAGCTCTGCGTTACCTCCGTAAGGATTGTGGTGTCATAGGATGGCTGATACTTTTCTTTTTCATGAGCAGTTCTCTTCTCCATTTTTTCTCGGTCAGTTTTTTGTTTCCTGTCTGCACCTTTAGGCTTAAAAACAAAGTAGAAGATTTTATCCGTCAGGCTACAGACAAGGAGCTTTACAAGCAAGACTAGACCTTAATTACTGAAAGCCTGGTTTCCACACCTTACCTTAAAAACTTTGATTTGGCAGCTAGCTGAGTGTAGATGATCTGTATATTCTCCATTTTCATTCTGCTTAAAGGTATCAACCTGGATCCTAAAAGGCACTCCCTTCTCACCTCCATGCTTCCGTGGAGTAAATTCTGTGCTGATGCAGTGCACCTAGAAAACAATTCAGGCTGAAATGGATCCGAAGTACCACCCATGATTACCCTTTTGTTTTGTTCCCATTTGGATATCCTGCCACCACTATAAACTCAATACCCTTTTAAACAAACTTTTACATATTAGCTATAAGAGTCATGAATTTGATTGTTATTTAATATATGGCTTTCCTTCCACAAATCAAACTTAGTCTTTCTGAACTTTCTGGAATGAATTCTCTTCCATTCAAACGCCTCTCCTTTAATAGAGCATTTGCTCCAATCCTAGATTTAATTATACTATAGCTCCCTGTGTATATCACCTACCCGCATCGTATTGTTCTCAAACTCAGGCTCCTGGCATGTGGCTCATACACAGTAGTCCTTACCTCATCACCCAGAGCTTCTGCTAGCTGCCCTCTACTGTCATTACCCCACGTCCTACTGCAAGCCATATTCATGTTTGACCACTTCTGCCCCTTCTCCTGATACTATGATGAGAGGGTACCACAGAGGGTTAGTATCAAACTTTGGTAATTTCTCACTGCTACACATACCTTCAATGACTCAAAGTTAAAAATGATTATGACTCTCTACATCCTGAAATTTTAGGCCATTCTTACTCAACTCCATTGACTACATTAACTAGTTACCCTGTTAGAAAAGGAGTATGAGAAAATATTCACTAATATGAACCAGGTCCCTGGTGAGTATGAGTTGATGGGGGCTATGTGGTAACCACATATCCACAAAAAATACAAAATACTAAATATTGTTTATAGTTCAAACAAACCACAGCCTACCTAGGCTGGTCAGCAATTAAGTGGTTTTCCTTTTCTACATAAAGATTAAAATTTTATTAGTTCTCTTACCACCTACAAATTTGAAAACACTGGGTATTAGATTTATGTTGATTTTATTTTACACATAACAATGTTTTTAAAGACTCATCTCCCAAAGATACAAGCTGCGTACTTACGTATAAAATAAAATGCCTTGAATTATTTGAAACAATTCCATCAATAATTAAAAAGGGGGAAAATACTAACAGTTGAAACCATGGATACACAGAGGAATCATTACCTTTCGTGTATGTGTGTTGAGGGGGGTGCTGAAAATTTCACATCAGAATTTTTTTTGGATAATGCTAGAAAGAATCTTAAAATAATACTTTCTCCAATCAAACCCTTTTAAATGGCAGTTCTGATTCAAGAGAAATGCATGTTACAAAAAATGGAAGCTTTGACTATTGCTGCTACCCATGGTAAATGTAATTCTTGCAAAATGCTTTCCATATTAGATTGTCTTATATGTTAGTCAATAAGGGACAGTTTTAGTAGATGAACTCCAATTTAACAGCATATGTAAAATAAAACAACATTATAAGATAATTTACAAATAAGCATTTAGAGAAGATGTATCAAGTGTCAAGAATTCAATCTCATCCATGACCTTCTAAATGACTAAGTCAATACGCTTCTAATAATGTAAAAATCCAAACCTGAATGAAAGCAGATGTGCGTTTTGCAGGGTCCCACAGAAATTCAACCGCATTTAACTGGCTTGGATTTGTCCTTGTGTCAATTACTCCCACAGACATTGGAATATCTATATTTCAAAAAGAAGTTAAATAGATACTCACCCAGTACGAACAATTAAAATGCCCATAACTTACTATATGTTCTAGTGAAATTATTATATCTCCATGCCCAATTTTTTTCTTCCATAGTTGACCACTTCAATGTCAAAACCCAACTAATGAGTATCATACTTTCTTCTACCGTGGTTTTCTATTTCCTTTAATTAAGAATGATGGGTGGTGCCAATCAAGAAAAAATAATAAAATGACTTCAAACTCATTAAAATTCTGGCTCAGTTTCTTTTAGGACCCAAAAACTCCTTTCTAACTGTAAAACTCAAGACACATGGCATCTGCTAACCCCAAAACTCTCTGCACAGTTACACATCGTGCCCCTTGTTTAGAAGCATAGCTAAACGGCTTTCATCTCTCTCTGATTTTCTGACAGCCTCGTGTACCTAAATCAAGAAGTCTGTCTCCAGGACGATTCCACTTCCAACCTTCAAGTTGCTGATGTTCTGTATACTGCAGCCGTCTGTCATGAAATACAACTCTTATGATGCTCTATAGAACAAGCGGGGGAAACAAGTTACTTTTAAATTGTTTCAGCTACAATGCAGAAGCATTTTCACTTTTAATGTGATAACTTATAATAGAAGAGCATACAAAACAAATTCTGCTTTATATATTTTTTAAGTAAAAGATTTTGCTCTTGGATACTTGGATTATGGGTGCAAAGAACTATAATTAAAAAAATAAATAAAATGGTTACATAGGTCTAATTTTTATTTAAAAAACTGACAGTGTAATTCAAAATTAAGGCACATGCTCATAAAATTAGTGAGAATTACATTTTTATAAAGAAAACATTAGATAAACATAGAAATTACTAAAATGAAAAGGTGATATAAACAGGAGACAAAGAAACCCAGGTACAGTGGTAAAACAGTTAACTTAAAATAATAGTTAATAAATTTTAGACAGTCAAGGGGTGGGGGAGGGAGGAATCTGCCAACCACCCAGAAGAGAGGCTGTATGTGCCATTCATTCTTGGGTCTCCCCCCACCCCTCCTTCATATCACAGACATTTGGGGTACCAACCATTTCATTACAGGAATAAGGGGTCATTGAAATGATTTCAGATATCAGATTTGCATTAATAAGTATTCCTGACACATTTTTATATTTACTGTTTCTCGAACCATGACACAGTAAGATACCTGTATTTCCAGTACACTGCTGGTTTACATAGGAAATAATCTGTGCTCCTACCTTTCCTAACCATTAAATAGTATCCAAACCCTAATGGATAAATATTTTGAAGGAAACCATTTGAAAGTGACAGTATTTTAACTTCAGATAGTTAAAAAGAAAAAAAAGAGTCAAGTCCATAGTTAAAGCAGATGAGGGAGGAATCCATAAAGGCTCAGCTGTCACTGTGATCCACACCCATTTTCCCCAGCTACACCCACATCTGCAGGAGCTGCCCAGGTGGTACACCAACACCCACTTCATCCTACCATCTGCTGGCAGCAAAGCTTTCACAGAGACAGTGGCACAGTAGCCACCGGTTCCCTTCATCAACAAATTGGTCTCAGAAGAAAGTGTAGCACAGAAAATGCCATCATTTTGATTCTTCCACATGTAGGAAAAGACTAAATTGACATATTCAGATGAAAACAGTATGAAAATTTGGACATTAGACTTAAGAGCTTTCCTAATCCCCATCTGGAAAGTCAGATTAAGATAATAGAGTAAGGAACATGAAAAGATGACATAGTTAAGAAATTGCTAAGATATGAAAAAACTTCTTAAATGAAGTTGGAAGGGAAGAAGTTGTTCTTTGTAGATTCTGACTAAAAGGAGACCGCACCTAAGAACCAGCATCAGACATAAGGGACCTAAGAGCCAGAATTGAAGAAAAGGCACCTAACAACAAAACAGAGAGAGAACAGAGAAAGCCTATCACTGAGTATGTTAAACACATTCAAGAAATTCCAAAGTACCTTTGATAACCCAGCATTTGATCCCCATGTTTCCTCACTATAGTAGAGTCAAACTCATAGGGCCAGGAACTAAAAAATTCTAGATGGCTACAGATTTTAGGGATTTTCTAGCTGAAGAAAGATGTGACTTCTAAGAAATTCTCCTGTAGCTTTTCATAGCAGCAGATAGTAGCTCAGAGTTCTAGGCAAGCTCTTAGGATTTAACCAAAGGTATCCTCTCACATCCACCAGATCAGATTTATGGCTTATTAAATGAAGATGCAACAGATTTAAGATCTTTTGAAAATTAACCCTTTCCAAACTGTAAGCTCACCAGTTAGGGATGATGCTTTAAAAATAAGTTATCTTGTCCAGATAGACAATGCTAGCGTAGGGTCAACAACATATGCCCTTTGCAATTACAGCTAAATGGTTTCTCTGTACCATTTAGTTCACAATCTCAAAGAAGAGTTGTTTTGCTTTCATTTATTAACTTTGTATATTTCAAGTTTTTACATGTTTTAATCTGGAACTAAATCTAAGGAAACTGAACTTAGAGCAGTCATGCAACAACTTAGTGATTACGCCTGCCGTATCAGGAAGTCCTCCCTCTCACCACCTACTCAGGGTTGCCTCAAAACGTCAGCTTGTCTTTACTGGTAAGTGACAGACTGCTTCGGAATTCACTTTCTTCAATGCCTTGACGGAACTTTAAATTTGGCATTTGTCCAGATGCTAAAGTTTGTTTTCCTCAGAACAAGGAGTAGCTGTGAGTGACATGTAAGTTAACATTATTTAAAATGATTAAGGGTTGGGGCCTCCCCGGTGGCGCAGTGGTTGAGCGCTGGGTTGCGAAGCTGCCGGCGAACTCTGCGGCGCCGGTTCGATCCCCGGCTGCTCCCCGGCCACTGGAGGAGGGTCCCACATGGCGCGCAGACCTCTCCTGCCGCCCGCTGCTCCCCTCAGCAGTGTATTTGGTCAGTCTGCCTGCTCTGCTCCCCGCTCTGGCTCTGGTGGATTCTCTCACCCTCCCGCGCTTCTGACTGTACCCAGTGCATGTATAAACAAAACAAACAAATAAATAAAAAAAACATGCCTCTATTAAAAAAAAAAAAAAAAGATTAAGGGTTAATGTTATGATTTAACAAATATAATCATCCTGGGAGGGGGGAAAAGTGAAAAGCACAAGGAAGAACAGTTGAAACAAGATTAGCAAACTGTTGGAGAACTGCTGAAGTTGGTAGAACTTATGAGAATTCTTTATATAAATATATTATCTAATCCCACCATATGATAAAAACATGACATTCACTATATCATCTTCTCTAATTCTAGGTATGTATAAGCAGCTTTAAAAACTGTTCTTATATTTTCAGATCTCGTTTTAAGGAATCAGTACAGGAGGGCCAAGCTCTATTTCATTTTCCAGAGGAATCTACTATTAAAACAATTTTCAACCCTTGTATACTGATAATTTTAAAAAATTCAACATAGCACAGTCATCAACTGTAACTTTCACAGTGACAGATGAGTTCAGCCACAATTCTTATAAAGATATTACCAGGCTTAATTTTAACTAGCCGTGGTACAATTGGTAGGTTCTCCCAAAGGTGAGCCAGGGGCATCATGTGACTTGTCTGACAATAAATCTGGCACCAGGATATGCCAAGAGAATCGTCAACACCTCTAAACATCCTAGACGTTGGAAAAAGAGCTGTTAGTTTGGTTCCTTGACTAAACCACAGTTCTTTCGCCTTAGAGGTCCTCTGGTACAATGTAGCTGGCTTTCCCAGTCAGGCCAAATTAGTGAACATTACCATCAGTATTCATTCCAATGCTTAGACTTTATGAAATTTATAATAAACCATGGTGTATGACAGGCAGAGGCTACATGGACCCTGTTGCATGACAGTGAAGGTGTGTTCTGAAGATACCCTAACGTCACCCACTGACTACACCAGGAATGACTGACTTCTTTACTCAAGATACATCACTAGGGTGAAGAGAGTTCAAATTTTAGAGAAACTTGAGGAGGTGAAATGAAAGGATTTTAAGTTTCATATTAACTTACATTTCCCCTCACATGTCTTACTTTCAAAGAGAAACCTGAAGTTTTTGTCAGGGTGGTGGGTTTTTCCCCTACAACTCTAACTAGTTTTTTTTTATGGTAATAATTTTTTAATCACTGCTATATCTTTGAGGAATTAAAATGAGTTGACCTTACCTTTACCAGTTTTCCAGTGATCTCAGGCATATCTCCCATTTTCCGATTATCCAGCATACGAATTTCATAAGACTGACCTATTTAAAAATTGTGTATTAAAAATAATCCATATAAAGAACATCACTGTTTTACATAAAAATTCCAGTGTCTCTCAGAACATACAATTACCCCATATTAATTTGCTGGAGTAACTAAGACTGATCTTCCCTATAAATCACACCATCCTTTCCTTACGCTATCACTAGAGCTTCTGTCAATTTATTTTTATATGCTACTCTTACACTAAATTTTATTATACATACAGGCATTTATTAGGACCGATTTTTCATATCAGCTTTACTGAGATAATTTATATACACTGACCCTTTTGAAGCATACAGTTAGTTCATTTTTACTATATTCAGAACTGTGCAACCACTACCACTATCAGTTTTAGAACATTTTTATCACCTCAAAAAGAAAACTCATACCCATAAGTAGTCACTTTCCATACTTACATCCCCTGAGGCCCTTGCAACCACTAAACAATCTATATGCTATCTCTAGAAATTTACCATTTCCCAAAGATGTGAATGTAGGTTCAGAGACCGATCGCAATTGTCCCAGCCTGTGTGAGTGGGTCATGTGCATGTGTGTGAGAGCTCCCTGCAATGGGATGCTGTCCTGCCCCGAGTTGGTTCCCGCTTGCACCCTGAATGGCAGGATAAGCTCCACCATCCCTGACCCTGAACTGGAATAAGTTGTGGAAATGAGAGAATTATATTCATTAATTATTGCTTAATATTGTAAGTGGTTTGGGGTCTTTAAAGTTTGGTGATGTTTTTAAAATCAGAAATATGCTGCAGGGGCTTAACTCGTTTACATCAATTAGCCCACTAGTCATCATTTCACCTTAGAGTTGCAGTTTCCAAGAACTTATCAAGGACACTGACTGAGGACTTACTGAAATCCACACCCACAAAAATGATCTATGAATTCTTTATCCTTAAACAATAAAACTGAGTGTATAATCTGACATGTAGAAATCAGTAGAAATTAGAGTGCTTATAGTACCATAAAAATTGAAGTGCTTCATTAACTACCAGTACCTTAACCAGAAATATATAGATCATACGGTCAAAATACAAAACACAACAAAGAATTCTCGATATACAGCCAAATCATTCCAAGGCTGGGGACGGAAATAACTATGTAATGTACTACACTAAGGAACATTCCCTTAGTCTTTCAACAGGGGGAAAGATTAACAACACTCTTAAGGCAAGAGACATTTGTAAAAAGTTAATATGCAGCATATTTAACAATGGAACTGAATTTGTTAGGGGGAAAGGATGTCCTGTGCTAATTCCATACAGGCTTTGTGGACTCCACCCCCACTCCAGACCAAAGCCATCAGGACATTGGGAAAGACAAATCCCGTCACCACCAAAGGGAAGGTGGCCGGGACCTGAGGGTGGAGTTAAGCAGCCAGGTTGGGTATAAAAACCAAACACGTGGGCCTTGGGGGTCTCTCATTTGCTGTTGCTCGCCTCCTGGCTTCAAGGCTCCTGGCTCGCGGCCATCTCTGAGTGCCATTTGGGATTCCAGACTGGCAGATCGGGTAGGACACATTTAAAACTTTGTCTCCCATTTTTCTCCCTGAGCTGTACATTTGCCCTTCCTTGTAAATAAACCTTTTATTAACCTTTCGTGTGTGCCTGCAGTAGAATATTGAGAAGTCCTTTTAAGCGCACGGGTGAGGACCCACAGTCAGGCACCCCGTTTTATATCGGGGCTGCCCTATAACAAATTCAGAAATAAAAATTTAAAATAAAGCATGTAATTGGACTTTGAAAAAGATACCATTATACATTTAAAAGTATACTTAACCTCACAAAACCTTAGGAAATAAAAATTAACAAAATGCTATCAGATGAACAAAAAAATGTTGAATAATCAAAAGGGCAGTAACAAGGAGAAATAAGCACATAATATATGGGGAAATATAAACTGATATAAAGTCTTTCTGAAAGGCAATTTGGCTGCACCTGTTAAGTTAAATACTATATCCTCTGACTCAGGGTTTCTAATCAGTCAAACAGGAAAATGTGCAAGAGGGGAAACATTTGCCAGTCATGTCACACATAAATTGCTCATTTCCCTAATGCAAAATCCTACAAACTCACTATCAACTCCCACGAAATCACTAAAAATATTCAACATACCTAGAATAAATGAACAAATGACATTAATACATAATTCATAAGAAGAAATGCCATCAAGTTCTTAACATTCACCCTCCATCAAATAAATGTAAATTAAAATGACACTGAAATCTTTTTTAAGCTATCAGATTACCCAAAGTCTCTCAGTTTGAATTGTCAAGGCTAAAGGAATACTGACAGTAGCAACAGAGATTATAAGAAACACTTTGGAGATGTTTTGAAGGTAGTGCTCAAACATTTTCTGTATATGAGATATGAAATGTGAGAGAGAGAACGGAGGGTAACTCCTGATTATTTAGCCAAGGAACTTCCTGACATGGGAACAATCACAAGATTTTGGGGAGAAAAATGCAGAGTTCAACTGAATACATTAAATCTGAGATACCTAGTGGAAATCAACATTATCAAGTTGATTTACAAATCTGGAGCTAAAAGGAAGAGATAATATTGGGGAACTCTTTCAGAGCTGTTAGGTAAAGTTGTTAGGTAAAGCTATTTAAATACAGACTCTAAAGAGTAAATGTAGAAATAAGAGGAGAAAGTACTTCTCTGGGATATAAAGACATAACCAAAGAACCACCACCACCGAGTGGGAAGTGCGGGAAGTGGCCAAAAATGCACCACATACTGGAAGCCCTTCCATGCCGAGGAGGAGTGAAAACTCCTTTAGCCACGAGGATCTTGTGACCCTCAAAGTCAAAAATCCCAGGGGAGGGTGTGTAGGCAATCACAATGTTCCTATCTTCTTAGTAACATTTTCCTTAATCTAACAAGGACACTTCTTTGCTCAATGTAAAGTTCAATCTGTTTCCACCAATAAGTCTCAAGGTTTGCTGCTCCTGTATTAAAGCACACAGATTTTTATTTTTATAAAATAGAAAGCATGTTTGTTTGTTTTAAAGGCTCTTAACACTTATACTTCAAAGACTTCCTCTACTGGAAACCACTTATGTCTTGGCTTTTTTCCCCTTCTTCAGTTTTATCCCAACTCACTACTTAGAAATCCCTTTCCACCAACAATTTTCTCCAGCAGTAATAATCACTGAGTGAACTACCAAGCTTTTCTATTTTATCCCCCCTCTTCCATAATTTTTTCAATAACATAACTTCCTGAAATATGAGTCAAGGTTCTAAATGAAATAAAAAGGTTTCACTTACTGACATATAAAGTTAACATACTTAAACAGCAGTATTCTATCAGTTTTTAGTCCTATTAGTTTATCTTCTGAATGACCTTTCAATGTTTTCACTTTTTTTGCTCAGAAATGCAAAAACTTTGCAAGAATTGAAACACATATCTTATGAATTCATGCTCCCAACTACCTTTGAAAATGTACTCTCAGTAGAGCTTCCTCTGATGGCCTGCAGAGCAACAAGTAGCCCACCTCTGACTATGGTCAAAGCATTTATTTCTAAGATCCTAACACAGACACTGAATATGTAACAAGGACCAAGACCTCAAGAAAGGAAATTATGAAAAATGAAATTAACAGAAAATATACTTTTCTTTTTGAAGCTCCACACCCCCAGCTATGTGCTAACCCTCTCTGAGCAAATCCTTCATGTTCAAGGGAAGTCACATATTTATCTAAATATTTAAAACAATAAAAAATTAAAGCATGATTCCCAAACTAACAGATCAGTGCCACCTGGAAACTTATCAGGAATGCAGATTCCAGACTTACTTTGATTACAAGTAATCACAATGCATCAAATATCCATTCACCTGTTTGACAGGATAATAAATCTTGCAACAGTACAGGTCAGGTCTCATTTCATTAAACAGAGAACACACACTTGAAAGTATGTATATGCATGCATTTTTTATGCACACATACATATAAGCATGGGCTCAGGGTTTACTAGATGCTACTTCAAGACCCAGCTTCACAAACTAAGACTGACCCCTAAAAGCAGACTATAGATGTCAGACACTCGGGAGTAGGGGTGTGGGGGTGAGAAGGGATGGGGAGGCAGAGGCGAGGAGTAGAGAGGGGGGCAGGGGTAGAGCATGCTGGAGGGCTATGGACATTCTGGTAGTGGGAAAACTATGGTGACTGCCCCTTAGGGGAAAAATCCTGTACTGTGAAAAAATAAAAAAAAGATGTTTAAAAAAAAACAAAGACCCAGGTTTGACAGGACCACAGATAAGCTAGGAGGCAGTGCAGCAGGATACAACAAATCTGTTTAAAATCTCAAGAGTGGGCCTCCCCAGCAGCACGGTCAGTTAAGCACCACGCTGTGAAGCCGTCTGCAGCCTTTGCAGCATGGTTTGATCCCTGGCCGGCCAGGGAGAAACCCACATGGTGCGGCAGACCTCTCCTGTCTTGCACATTGCTCCACTCAGCAGTGTCTTTCATCCATCTGCCTGTTCTGCTCACCGCTGTGTCTCTGGTGAATTCTCTCACTCTCCCGTGCCTCTGACTGTACCCCAGTTCTTGTATAAATAAATAAATCTTTTAAAAAAAAAAAATCTCAAGAGTAAATGATAGCCACCCAATGGAAACAACTCTGTACAAGAGTGGTTCATCCTACACATTTTCTGGAGATCATCCACCTAGTACACACTTGCCTTGGTGGTTGTGTTAGTTCCTATCTGCTGCTTTAACAAATTTCTACAATTTAGTGCATTGAAACTATACAAATTACCATTCAGTTTCAGAGTTTAGATGTCCAAAACAGATCTTACTAAACTAAAATTAAGCTGTGAGCAAGGCTGCACTCTTTATGGAGGCTCCAGGGGAAAATCTATGTCCTTACTTTTTTTCAACTTCTTGATGCAACCTACATCCTTGGCTTACTGCACCTTCCTCCATCTTCAAGGTCAACTGCACTGAGTATCTTCAAATCTCTCTTTAATTCTCAACTCTCTG